GAACAGCTGTTGTAGTGACGACCAGCCATGCTTTACTGTATTTACACTGTTTACACTCAATATATAACACAGTAAGATTCATGATTTAAAAAACTTTATTGTCCATCACATAGTGACAAAAAACATCACAGCCATTAGACTCAAATCATAAATGAGTGATTACTAATATTATATAATAACTACTATGATCACTAGTTACACCACACACACACACACACACACACACACACACACACACACACACACACACTCACACACACACACACTTTATCAGTCTTTATTACCTGTTTCTCCGGTCTGGTTTCACCTGGTCTCTGCAGCTGGTCTCGGTCGGTCCCGGTTCCTCCGTCTCTCCTCTCAGCAGAGCATCTCTCTCTCCAGCTCTGCACAAACACTTCCGCCCTGTCGCGGCAAATCAGAAGCCCCCCCCCCCCCCACACCCCTGAACCCTCTCGTCTGATTGTCGGATTCAGCAAGCGTCGACGTTTGTTTCGTGACGCCTGAAGGCTCGCTCATCATGCTCGCTGCTCATTGGCTGATAGGAACGTGTACACCAGTGACAGCGCGGCTGAGCTACAGCGATGAGAAAAGTATCAGCCGGGTCCTGCCACGTCCTCAACCCGGAGTCAGAGACCCCCGATACTGAGAGACTATTGATTTATTAATAACCATCAGAGATCGATTATAAGTTTGATATCTGAGTCATTTGATCCTGATCTTCATCCTCCATCATTTGAACATGTAACATAATCATTACAGTTTTTTCCGATTGGTAAAACACAATTTTGCAAACTAGGCTGGTTTTATCAAAATACTGAACACAATTCACAAAACCACAAACTGCAACATACCTCACATATCCTGCAAAATGAAGCTCTGCAACCAAAACTACATATAGCATTATCAAAATCAAACTTTTGCACAAATGGCACACACTTCAAATACTCCATTTATATTTCCAGATTTTGTCTAACCAACTACACACTGTCGGGCATAATGAAAAGCACTCTCATCTTTAGTGTGCTTTGCCATAATACTAAAATAGTTTGAAGTGTAGAAAATTCTTCAGATTGTTCACATGCACATGCTTATTTTTTTTATTTTTCACCAAACAAGTCAGTGCTACATATACCAGGACAGTAAAACGGCTCAAGTTGAGCTGCACTCTGTCCAGACTCTCACAGTGTCAGCCCATGATGACATGATCAACTGAGGTTGCTCTGAGTTCATTTGAAAGTTGTTTTCTTCTTTGGCCATGAACTCCTCTACCAGCTCTACCTCTCACTCTTCCTCTACCAGCTCTACTCCTACCTCTCACTCTTCCTCTACCAGCTCTACCTCTCACTCTTCCTCTACCTCTCACTCTTCCTCTACCAGCTCTACTCCTACCTCTCACTCTTCCTCTACCAGCTCTACCTCTCACTCTTCCTCTACCAGCTCTACCTCTCACTCTTCCTCTCACTCTTCCTCTACCAGCTCTACCTCTACCTCTCACTCTTCCTCTACCAGCTCTACCTCTCACTCTTCCTCTACCAGCTCTACCTCTCACTCTTCCTCTACCAGCTCTACCTCTACCTCTTACTCTTCCTCTACCAGCTCTACCTCTACCTCTCACTCTTCCTCTACCTCTCACTCTTCCTCTACCAGCTCTACCCCTACCTCTCACTCTTCCTCTACCAGCGCTACCCCTACCTCTCACCTTCCTCTACCAGCTCTACCTCTACCTCTCACTCTTCCTCTACCAGCTCTACCTCCTCACTCTTCCTCTACCAGCTCTACTCTCACTCTTCCTCTACCAGCTCTACTCCTACCTCTCACTCTTCCTCTACCAGCTCTACCTCTACCTCTCACTCTTCCTCTACCAGCTCTACCTCTCACTCTTCCTCTACCAGCTCTACCTCTCACTCTTCCTCTACCAGCTCTACCTCTACCTCTCACTCTTCCTCTACCTCTCACTCTTCCTCTACCAGCTCTACTCCTACCTCTCACTCTTCCTCTACCAGCTCTACCCCTACCTCTCCCTCTTCCTCTACCAGCTCTACCCCTACCTCTCACTCTTCCTCTACCAGCGCTACCCCTACCTCTCACTCTTCCTCTACCAGCTCTACCTCTACCTCTCACTCTTCCTCTACCAGCTCTACCTCTACCTCTCACTCTTCCTCTACCAGCTCTACCCCTACCTCTCACTCTTCCTCTACCAGCTCTACTCCTACCTCTCACTCTTCCTCTACCAGCTCTACCCCTACCTCTCACTCTTCCTCTACCAGCTCTACCTCTCACTCTTCCTCTACCAGCTCTACCTCTACCTCTCACTCTTCCTCTACCAGCTCTACTCCTACCTCTCACTCTTCCTCTACCAGCTCTACCTCTACCTCTCACTCTTCCTCTACCAGCTCTACCCCTACCTCTCACTCTTCTCTCTACCAGCTCTACCTCTCACTCCTCCTCTACCTGTGGTCTTTTCAGAGTGCTTACTTCCTGATTGAAGTGATAACATTGAGGTGTTTGGCCAGGTGGCACATACATTGGCCAATTAGTTCATGTAGTGTCATTTTGAATGGCAGTGTTTTGAAATGGCAAACATGTGACTTTATGTCAGATTGTTGTGTCTTATGCAGAGAACCGTGTTCAGTGCATTTAAAAAGTGTCATTTTGAATTGCAAAATGTGTGTAAAGCAGAAAATGTGTTTAGACTTTTGGAGACTTAAGAGGTTTTGCTCTCTGTGTGTCAGTTTAAATAATTGTGCTATGCATTTCATTTTAGTGTGTTAGCAACTGGAAAAAACTGTAAGATATAAAATGTTATTTAGAAACAAATTTCACCAAAAAATATTTTTGTACAAGAGAGAAAGAGAACTGTTTTTATTGGTAGTTAAGTTTTAATATTTCAATGCTCGAGGTCAAGAGGTCAGCAGAATCGACCATTTCACCTTCTGAGCGTTATTACCCGCTCAGTGTCGGGATGTAAATGTGTTTATGTGCTTATTAAAAAGAATTCCAGAAAGTAAAAAAATCTGAAATTATCCAGTTTTTAACCCGTAAATACAGTCACTGAAATAAAGTTCATCAGAGTCAGATTAAAACCTGTTTGTGTGTCAGTTAGGATTAATGTCTTCAAATATGAACCTTCAGGTAAAGGTCAGGGCAAAGAGACCCACCTGATCCTCCTGACGTCCTCTGTGTGTGTGTGTGTGTGTGTGTGTGTGTGTGTGTGTGTGTGTGTGTGTGTGTGTGTAGAATATATTCAGTTTCAAGCCTTTGAGTTGAAGTACAAAATAAATTTATTTTTTATAAAGTGATCTTTTTGTTCATAATCTTTTGACTTTCATCTTTACACTGTTAAAACCTGAACCGGTTCAGGATCAGGATCAGGACTAGTACATTAGAACTGAACAGGATCCGTTCTTTTCTGGATCAGTACCGAGGAGGGATCTGTACAGCGATGCCTGGAGGAAACAGGGTTAGTTAGTTAGTCAGGGGAAAACAGGGTCCAGGTGTTCAATGGATGGCGGGGGTCCAGGGTCCCTGGATGTGCTGGCTCTGCAGGAGTCTCTGCAGCTCCTTGAACTGCTCCACGGTCTGGTCCTTCACGTCCGGGTTTGAGATCTGAAGCCGGATGCTGTCTGTGGACCAGCTCAGCTCTCCAGAGAACATCTCCGTCAGGATCCGAGCCACCACAGGAACCACCTGAGAACCACAAGAACAGTCTAAATCCAGACCCGGCTCCAATCCAAACCCTTACTCCCCAGCAGGAACCACAAGAACAGTCTAAATCACGACCCGGCTAAACCCCCCCCCCCCCCACCCCATAGGAACCACCTGAACAGGTTTAATCCAGACCATTAGAACCATCCAATATTCACAGCTAGAACCACCTTACCACAAATGTTAAACTGAGCCTGAATAAAAGCAGTGAAGAAGAAGGAGGAAGAGGAGGAGGAGGAGAAGATGAAGAAACAGAAGAAGAAGAAGACAAAGGGGAGGAGCTATGTTCTGGTTTGAGTGAGTTCAGTTGGAGCGCCCCCTGTTGTCTGGTCAGTTAAACACACCTGGACCATGATGAGTTTCTTTTCTCTGGGTTTCTTGTCAGGCCAGTCCTCCCCAAAACAGAAGGAGATCTCAAAGGGGGGTGGGCTCTGAGTCTCCCCCTTATGGAACAGGATCAGTTCTGTGGGAGGAAATTAATCACATCAACAACGTCATGAAGCTGAGCAACATCCACCAACGACATCATAAACATCATTAATATGATTTATTTATTGGTCACCTTGCAGGAACTCGTTGAGGCTGAACACCTTGATCTTCTTCTCTCTCTCCAGGGGGTTCGGTGGACCGTGTTCCAGCGTGCCCGGTCCAGACCAGAACACTTTACACTGACAGAGGCGGACGGCGTAGATGTCTTGCTCCAAGATCTCCAGGATGAGACCGCGGTCCATCACGTCCAGCAGGGCCTCCGTGTAGAACCGCTGCTTCTGGTTCTGGATCTCAGACGACCCCGGGAAACGCACCTGCTGCAGGGAGACGGGTCCAAACAGGTCCACCTGCTCTGGGTTTGGCTCCAGGTGTCCAAAGTACAACCGGCAGCCCTGAGGGTTACTGACCGTCAGAGAGCCCGCCGTACGGCCGCGGTACTGGAACTTCAGATCCAGATCTGTTACTAAGGTGACAAAGAAGGGTCAGTTATTACATCTGTTACCACGGCGACACAGAGGGGTCAGTTATTACATCTGTTACCACGGCGACACAGAGGGGTCAGCTATTACATCTGTTACCACGGCGACACAGAGGGGTCAGCTATTACATCTGTTACCACGGCGACACAGAGGGGTCAGCTATTACATCTGTTACCACGGCGACACAGAGGGGTCAGCTATTACATCTGTTACCACGGCGACACAGAGGGGTCAGCTATTACATCTGTTACCACGGCGACACAGAGGGGTCAGCTATTACATCTGTTACCACGGCGACTCAGAGGGGTCAGCTATTACATCTGTTACCACGGCGACACAGAGGGGTCAGCTATTACATCTGTTACCACGGCGACACAGAGGGGTCTGCTATTACATCTGTTACCACGGCGACACAGAGGGGTCTGCTATTAGATCTGTTACCACGGCGACACAGAGGACCGGGTTCCAGATTCTGGTTCATGTGCTAATGCTGTGCATAGTCAGAGATTTAAGGTCAGAGGTCATACTCACAGGGCACGCTGCTCAGCAGGTCATACTTGGCAGGTTGGTGGTTCGCGGCGTCGCCCTGGTTCTGGATGCTGCTGGTCTCCATGGAGATGGCTTCGGGGGGCAGAGAGTCCAGGTCCTGGAGTCCCACAGTGAGTCCTGAAGGATGTACGAAGGGCAGAGGATCCACCTGGAGGTCAGAAGTCACGTGGAGGTCAGGGGCCATGGGGAGGTCGGGGGTCACATGCGGAGGTCTAAACGTCCCGTTGGAGGTCATACTGAATGAAGTGTCGGGCAGAGCTGGGATGGTAAAGGAGGCGGGGTCACTGGTCCTGGGGTCTGAGGAGACATGACATCATCATATGACATAACCACATGACATCACTAGAGCTTAAATCAGTTATCGACTGTTTGTCCTGAAGGAACTTTAGGAACAGTCTGTGGTCCTGGTTCCTCAGGCCAGGAGGGGGGGGGAGGGGGGGAGGGGGGGTCTTCATCCTGATTGGTTGATTGCGTGCTTTCTTTCAGGCTCCTGTTTGAGCTAAAGGTTTCACTCACTGATCGTCAGCTCCATCAGGTTCGGCATCTGAGAAGAAAACAGATTGTTGTAGTTTTGTTTGTTTGTTTTTGTTGATTTAAATTCTGTTTATTTTTAAACACTGAGTCCTCACCTCCTCCTCCTCGTCATCAGCGCCGTCTGAAACACAAACAGGTCAGACATGTGAGTTCATTAAAGTTTTGGTGCTGTATCTAATGCCTTTGTACAATCAGGCTGATTCTGTTCCTGTACCACATGACTCCAGGTGTGCTCTCACCTGTGCTCCCCAGCTGCTCGCACACCTCGTAGATCTTGAACGGTCGGACCGGCGTCTCTTTGGTGCCGTCGTATTTCAGCTGAAACTCGCGGCTCTTGTTGAGAGCGCAGCGCAGGTTTGCCTTCCACTTGGCCGGGTCGGGTTCGTCCACGCCGTCCTGATACTTACCTGTCTCCAACGCCCACGCCTGAAAGACACAGCACAGGGTTTACAGGTAACACTCAGGTAGTCAGACCTGCAGTAACAGGTAAATAATTAATAAGGAACGTTTGTTTTAGAAGCACACAGAGCTGAAGGACTTCTGTTAATATCAGATTTTAAAACAAAGATGAGACCCAGGTGAGCTCACAAGTGAGGTCACAGGTGAGGTCACAGTTGAGCTCAAAAGCGAGGTCACAGGTGAACTCACAAGACAGGTCACAGGTGAGCTCAAAAGTGAGGTAACAGGTGAGGTCACAGGTAAGATCACAGGTGAGGTCACAGGTGAGGTCACAGGTGAACTCACAAGACAGGTCACAGGTGAGCTCAAAAGTGAGGTCACAGGTAAGATCACAGGTGAGGTCACAGGTGAGGTCAAAAGTGAGGTCACAGGTGAACTCACAAGACAGGTCACAGGTAAGATCACAGGTAAGGTCACAGGTGAGGTTACCAAGTGAGGTCACAGGTGAGCTCAAAAGTGAGGTCACAGGTGAGGTTACAGGTGAGGTCACAGGTGAGGTCACAGGTGAACTCACAAGACAGGTCACAGGTGAGCTCAAAAGTGAGGTCACAGGTAAGATCACAGGTGAGGTCACAGGTGAGGTCAAAAGTGAGGTCACAGGTGAACTCACAAGACAGGTCACAGGTAAGATCACAGGTGAGGTTACCAAGTGAGGTCACAGGTGAGCTCAAAAGTGAGGTCACAGGTGAGGTTACAGGTGAGGTTACAGGTGAGGTCACAGGTAAGATCACAGGTGAGGTCACAGGTGAGGTCACAGGTGAGGTCACAGGTGACGTCAAAGTGAGGTCACAGGTAAGATCACAGGTAAGATCACAGGTAAGATCACAGGTAAGATCACAGGTGAGGTCACAGGTGAGGTCACAGGTGAGGTCAGTGTGTTTGAGGTGCTGTGATGTCAGAGCTCAGGTATTAAAGGGGCACTCTGACCTTGAAGATGGTGTTTTCTTCCTCTGATGAAGGCGTGTGGCGCGTCGCGTGTTTCCACGGGATCTGGAAAAGTCGATGGTCTGGACTGAGCCACTGTAGACCAGGATACCTGCCGCTGTTCACCTGGGCCAACAGCCAGGGCTTCAGACGGATCCTGCGGGGCTGGATGCTCATGATGGGGTCTGGGTTTACACTGGGATCACTGGGATCACTGGGAGGAGTCAAAGAAACAAACTCCTCCTTAAAATAAGATCTACTTTAATCCTGCGAGGAGAAATTCAGGTTTACACTCTGCTGTTGAGACATGCCACACACACACACACAGAGACACACACACACACACACACACACACACACACACACACACACACACACACACACACACACACACACACACACACACACACACACACACACACACACACACACACAGACACAGACACACACGCCTTTTCTTCATGGTTCCTTAAAAGTTTTGGGAAGTCATTGAGTCAGAGTCATGAGATCAACAGGGACGAGTTCGTGACGTCACCGACGCAACAGTTGAACACCGCTGATGACTAAACAAGTGAGTGTGTGTGTGTGTGTGTGTGTGTGTGTGTGTGTGTGTGTGTGTGTGTGTGTGTGTGTGTGTTGTCTGTGTCTGTGTGTCTGTGTGTGTGTGTGTGTGTGTGTGTGTGTGTCTGTGTGTCTGTCTGTGTTTGTCTGTGTGTGTGTTTGTCTGTGTGTGTGTGTGTGTGTGTGTGTGTGTGTGTCTGTGTGTCTGTCTGTGTGTGTCTGTGTGTGTGTGTGTCTGTGTGTCTGTGTGTGTGTGTGTGTGTCTGTGTGTGTGTGTGTGTGTGTGTGTCTGTGTGTGTCTGTGTGTGTGTCTGTGTGTGTGTCTGTGTGTGTGTGTCTGTGTGTGTGTGTCTGTGTGTCTGTGTGTGTCTGTGTGTGTCTGTGTGTCTGTGTGTCTGTGTGTGTGTGTCTGTGTGTGTGTGTCTGTGTGTGTGTGTGTGTGTGTGTGTCTGTGTGTGTGTCTGTGTGTGTATCTGTGTGTGTGTGTGTGTGTGTGTGTGTCTGTGTCTGTGTGTCTGTGTGTGTGTGTGTGTGTGTGTGTGTGTGTCTGTGTGTGTGTGTGTGATGGACTCACCTGGTCCTACTTTCTGGTGCTCCGGGAATCTTTTAAAATCCTACAGGTTCCGGTTAAGCGGTCTGCAGCGTCACTGTGACGTCATCAAACCACACAACAGACAAACAACCAGCAAAAACAAACAAGCAAACAAACAAACAAACAAACAAACAGCGTGTCGCGGAAAGCTGTGATCCTCTCGCCCAAACTGACGGAACTCAGATCAGATCCGCGTCAAGGTGACGTCAAGAACACAACTACTTCCTGCCAGTGAGACAAAATAAAAGCTTTTAAAAGTCTTTTAAAAAAGCAGATTATTTTGTCAAAAATAAAAGACATGGTGATAAAAATGATTCATTATTAATATAGACAGGAAGATCATGTAAACATTAAAACTTCAGAATAAAACACAGATACTTTAAATCACTTTGTTGTCAAGCTGTTAGAAACTGAAGCTTTTATTTTGGTGACTGGGAAAAAGAAGAAGATATCCTTTATTAATTTCTCAAGGTGAAACTCAACTTTACACCCTGCTGTTGACATATGCTACACACACACACACACACAGGCTGAAACACACACACACACACACACACACACACACACACACACACACATAAATACTCACGTGCACAAACAGGATCCGGTGGTCATTAGATGGCACAGTGGGGGGGGCTGCAGACAGGGGGCGCTGTGCGCTGTTGGAGGTTCATGTCTTGCTCATGGAGCCTCAGCAGCACTAAGGAGTGAACCAACACCTCTCCAACGACCAGAACCCCATCAGGACTCTGGTCCTCCCTGGGACCTGAACCTGGGACCCTCCAGGACCAACTCAAGTCTCTAAAGACTTAAAGTAACTGACGCCCAAAATTAAGAGTTATTCTAGTTTGATTTCAGGTCTAAATATTTTTTTTTATATAATTTTCTATACTTTATTTTTTCTCTTAAATGTGATCTATTTAAGATCTAAAGGGGGACAGATCTTGCTGCCGCTCATGGCAGACATCTTTGATCTCCCTGTAGACTTTAAGACTCTCCCTTTGTAGACCACAAATTTATAAATAAATCTTGATTTGATTTGTTTACTTTTCTCTCCTGATTGAAATAACGGTTTAATGTTTGTAACATTCGTGTTGCCAAACAAGTCAGCACAGTAACTAAGATATGTTAAAGTAAGTCGTACAATAGAAAATCCTCGGTACTTTATAATCCAGCAGAAACTTAGCTTTCTTTAAACTGTTTAAGACAGGCAGCTACAGGAAGTGAAACATGAAGTGAAACTGAGTTCATGTTTCACTTTTTCAGCTTCACACTAATGACCTTCCTTTGTGAAAAACACTGAATACAACACACACTCAGATAATAAATAATATATTTATTATATAACAAACATTATCTTTAATATAAATAAATGTTATTACATTATAAACCTTAAAATAAATATCAAACGTTCTAATAAAAATGGGACTGTGTGTGTGTGTGTGTGTGTGTGCAAACAGACAGAAATCTTTAAATCAGCAGAATAAAACAGGATTTCACATTACCACTTCCCTGTATAAATATGATTTAAACATGTTTATCATGTGTTGGAGGAGGATGTGTATATGGTTCCTTGTTATCGTGGAAACCACTGTGTAGTTTCCATGGCTGCTTAACAAAGAGCATGAGGATGTTTTTTAAAACTCAAACTTTCCAACAAACAGGGAAAGAAACAGAAAAAAATCAAACATATAAACAAAAACATGCTGATAAAAAGATGTAAATAAAGACAAAAAAGTCAAATAGCAAAAAGTCTTTGTTTATTGTTGATCATATTTATGTGCTTCTTAAACATTTACTTCAATCATTCGTTTGGATTTGTTTTAAAAAAAAGGTTTACTGATTTTAAAGAAATTTGATGTTTAAAAAAACAACCAAACAAAACGTTTAATATTTTTATTGTTCAAAGACTCAAACATGACAAACTTTCTTTTTGAGCTTCAACACAATATTTCTGTTTGTCTTCTACACTTATTTACAGTTTCTAATCTTAGGAATTTAATTTTGTTATTAATGCACCAAAAGGAAGAATAATTATATTTATCATTAAAAAAATGATTGTCACTGTTCCTTTAAATCGATTAAAGAAAACATCAACACACTTTAAATCTTCACGTCTTTTATATATTTTATGTCTCTGGGCTGAAATCAATTCATGCTTTTAATTTGAAAACCTTCAAAGTAAGACACGGACAAATAAAAGACTGTTAAGATGTTTTAAAATCAGTTTTTTTGGATCATGCCTGACAGCAGAGCAGCTTGTGAAAGACGTGTCTGAACTCGACGTTGAAGGCAGTGTAGATAATCGGGTTGACGGCGCTGTTGACATAGCCGAGCCATGTTACCACGGAGATGAGTGTGGGGCCGATGTCACACGACCGACAGAGAACCTTGGTGACGTGGACGATGAAGAAAGGCGTCCAACAGACCAGAAACACGCCTGGAGAAAGACACATTAAGAGAACAGGAAGTTTCTTATCATTCAGAACATGTTTGGGGGTCTGCAGAGGAAAATAAATAAGTGTGAAAAATCTCTTCTAAAGTGTTTCTGAACATATATCTGTGTAACCTGAGAGTCTACTGACCCACAACATGTGAAATAAACCCATCCAGTCCTTTGTTTGTGGTCTTCATGAGTCTTACAACACAGAGAAAAATGCTCTGTTTCAAATGTGCTCTCCTTGTGATGTCACAGTGGGATTCTGGTAAAAAAAAGAAAATCCCCTCCCCTCCCCTGGTATCTCCACCCATGGACTCCACCCCCAGCCTAGAACAAAACTTTTGCTTTTTCCATTTTTATTCTCATTACAGAGGAGTGATGTCTACGGGGAAAACTCACTTAAATTGCATTTAAAGAGACACACACACCAAAACGGAGCGTTCTGAGAGAGCTGGTTTATACAGGGTCACAAACCTCCTCTGGTGCTTGATTCATGTTAGATTTTGACCAAAGCACAGCACAGATGTTTCATTTAGACCACAGGGGACTGTTTGAAAAGGTGGAGGAGGGGACTGTTTGAAAAGGTGGAGGACTGTTTGAAAAGATGGAGGAGGGGGATGATAAGTCCTCTTTAACATCTGCTTTAAAAAATAACATTTTGAATGTGAATGTGAGCTCGTCACAGAGTGAGCGTGCAGGAGGTTTGAGCCTGTGAGTAAAAGATGCTGCTGAGACACTAAAGTGGTTTCCACGGCGATTTGAGAGAAACAGTTTCTATTTTTAATGAGGATCAAAAGCTTCGGTGTTGAGCATGAAACTGAGAGTGTGCAGAAGAAATAGAGTTTGTGTTCAGAGCTGCAGACGTCAGATCGACTGCTGAGACACTTAAACACACCATCACTAATGAGCTAATGAGATTAATCACACGGTAGCTCTGAATGTTTACACTGAAATAAACATTAAAGGTGTAAATTAATGTAATTATTATTTGTTAAAAACTCACCGACCACAACAGGAAGTACCTTCATGGCCTTCCTCTCCCGCCCGCTGACTCGGCTGCTCTTCTTGTTTCTTCTTCGTCTCTTCGCGGCGCTCCTCTTCATCAGGCTGTCCTCTCTCTCACCACCGCCCCGCATCCTCTCTGACGCGCTGTCCCCTTGAGTCGTCACTGGGTCGCTTTCTGGCGCCGCTCCCCTGTCCTCCTCCATCACAGGGGTCACAGTGGGCGTTACCGTGGAGACGGTTGACAGAGAGGTGGGACTGAGGCTGTCAGGAGCGGCGTACAGGACTCTCTCCTGACTTTCTGCCGTCGTGGTTTTAGCTCGCCGTGGGACCAGGCAGAGATGCAGAGAGAGAACAGAGCGAGAGGCGGGGCCCGCTTTGGACCGGCTCCGCCCGCTCCAGCGCCGCAGACCCTGAAACATCCAGTAGTACAGGAAGAGCATTAAGGGGCACGGCACGAAGAACGAGCAGACGGACGAGTACACCACAAAGTGCTCGTCCTCCAGTCTGCACACGCTCGGGTCCCGACCCGGGACCTGGTTCAGACCGAACATCACAGGGCTCGCCAAGCCCAGCGACAGCAGCCAGGTGGCAGCGATGAGCGCCAGCTGACGGACGCTGAACTGGTTCCTGTTGTACTTCAGAGGGACCACGACCGCGATGTACCTGAAACCAGAACCAGAGAGCACATCAGACCCTGATGACCCCATCAGATCCTGAAGCCCCCATCAGGCCCTGATGACCCCATCAGACCCTGATGCCCCCATCAGGCCCTGATGACCCATCAGACCGTGATGACCCCATCAAACCCTGAAGCCCCATCAGACCCTGATGCCCCCATCAGGCCCTGATGACCCCATCAGACCCTGATGACCCCATCAGACCCTGAAGCCCCATCAGGCCCTGATGACCCCATCAGACCCTGATGACCCCATCAGACCCTGAAGCCCCCATCAGACCCTGATGCCCCCATCAGACCCTGATGACCCCATCAGACCCTGATGCCCCCATCAGACCCTGATGACCCCATCAGACCCTGAAGCCCCCATCAGACCCTGATGCCCCCATCAGACCGTGATGCCCCCATCAGACCCTGAAGCCCCCATCAGACCGTGATGCCCCCATCAGGCCCTGATGACCCCATCAGACCCTGATGACCCCATCAGACCCTGAAGCCCCCATCAGGCCCTGATGACCCCATCAGACCCTGATGACCCCATCAGACCCTGAAGCCCCCATCAGACCCTGATGCCCCCATCAGACCCTGATGCCCCCATCAGACCCTGAAGCCCCCATCAGGCCCTGATGACCCCATCAGACCCTGATGACCCCATCAGACCCTGAAGCCCCCATCAGACCCTGATGCCCCCATCAGACCCTGATGACCCCATCAGACCCTGAATCCCCATCAGACCCTGATGCCCCCATCAGACCCTGATGACCCCATCAGACCCTGATGACCCCATCAGATCCTGATTCCCCCATCAGACCACTTCTAAAGACCCCGCTTTCTTTTTTTTAAACACATTTATTTTGGGGCATTTAGCCAGAAAGAGAATAGAGCAAGAAATCCACATGTCGGACTTGAACCTTGGCCATGTGTTTTGTGTGTTTTGTGTGTTTTGTTACCTGTTTTGAGATTTGTGGGTTTTTTGAGGCCCAGCAGCTCGCCTGAAGGCTGCTCCACAGGTGACACTGATTCTTTGCTTTTCTGGCTGATCTTTCTGTGCCGTGTTGATGGGATCTTATTGGTTGTTTTTAATGTCTCTGAACTGAAAATTGTCCCAGGCAACCAAGCTCACAGCTGGAATATCTCAACACCTGTCACGATCAGCTGATTTTGAAAGAGTTTTTTTTTATAGGTGAGGTGACACTCTATATTTAGTTTCATGTCTCAGGCAACACGATTAACTTGTAAATTAACAGTAACGAGGTGTTTCATTAAATCTTCTCAGCACGTGTGAGTCTCTCAGTATGCACGGCTCATTTATAGAAATCTGTCATCTTCTTAATGAGCTGCGAACACCACATGTCACGATGAAATAGAAACGGCCTCATGTAAGAAGTGCAACTGAAGACGTGTCTGTGATGACATTATCAGTGATGTCATTCACCGTAACCAAGCGACTTGTAGTCACACAGGAAGAGTAATGTAGACATTGTAAAGACTTTGACCTCATCTTCTCGTCTTCTATACTGAAGACTCAGATCAGGATAAAGAGAGACACACTCAGGTGATCTTACCTGTCCACACTGATAGCACACAGGTTGAGGATGGAGGCCGTGCACAGCATCACATCCATGGTCATCAGAGCGTCACAGGTGAAGGTGCTCAAAGTCCACACGCCTCCAAGAAACTAACAACACACAAACAGACACTGTGATGAAGACACACCAACAAACAAATGTTCCTCATAGTCCAGGTGTACTCACCTGGTCCTCATAATCCAGGTGTACTCACCTGGTTTTTATAATCCAGATGAACTCACCTGGTCCTCATAATCCAGACTCACCTGATCCTATTAATCCAGGTGTATTCACCCAGTACTAATTAACACTGTTTCCTAATAAACCAGGTGTACTCCACTGGTCCTCATTAGCACTGTTTCCTAAAAACAGGTGTATATTCACCTTGTCCTCATCATCAACATGTCCTAATATTCCAGATGTGTAGTCACCTGGTCCTCATTAACCCTGTGTGATTTTAATCCAGGTGTATATTCACCTGGTCCTCATTAACACTGTGCCCTCCTAATCTAATCACATAGTCACCTGGTCCTCATTAACACTGTGTCATTATAATCCAGGTGCGTACTCACCTGGTCCTCATTAACCCTGTGTGATTATAATCCAGGTGTATAGTCACCTGGTCCTCATTAACACTGTGCCCTCCTAATCTAATCACATAGTCACCTGGTCCTCATTAACACTGTGTCATTATAATCCAGGTGCGTACTCACCTGGTCCTCATTAACCCTGTGTGATTATAATCCAGGTGTATAGTCACCTGGTCCTCATTAACACTGTGCCCTCCTAATCTAATCACATAGTCACCTGGTCCTCATTAACACTGTGTCATTATAATCCAGGTGTGTATTCACCTGGTTCTCATGAACTCTGTGCCCTCGTAATCTAGTCATATATTCACCTGGTCCTCATTTACACTGCTTCTTTTAAAAACAGGTGTACATTCACCTGGTCCACATGAACACAGTGTCCATGTAATCCAGGTGTGTATTCACCTGGTCCTCATTAACACTGTGTCCATATTATCCAGGTGTACAGTATCCTGGTCCTGGTGAACTCTGACCTCTGAGTATACGTAGAGTGGCAGCACGAGCACAGCGAGCAGCAGGTCGGCGACCGCCAGGCTGATGATGAAGTAGTTGGTGGCCGTCTTCAGCGAGGGCTCGGTGAGCACGCTCACACACACCAAGATGTTTCCTAGGATGATGACCAGGATCAGAAGGACGCCGAGGACCAGCGCCGGGTAGTTGAAGTCGTGAAGGGGGTCACCTGAAGGGCTGTCAGGTGTCACATTGACCATGATGAAGGGCTGCAGCCAGCATCTGGACTCAGCAGCTTCCTGTGAGACGTTGATGCAGTTTGTCAGTCACAGAGGATTTCACATTTACGCACTGACTTCATTAATCAAGACTGGAAGTTGCCGCTTGTTTCAGACTGAACACGATGACTTCACACCTAAGGAGATTATTTTCAAACTGCAGACCCATCACCTATCTCTTATTCAATATTGTTTTTTATTAAAAACAATTAAGTTTTTTAATTTAAATTTTCCGGAGGGCGCATTGATGAAGATTTTAAATGAAAAACTAAAAATACAGAATGAGACATTAAAAAATAAAAAAAGCAGCCGAATTCAGATTCACTCACTAATTTTTCTCCTCCTCGTCTTCTTCACTGTTTTTCTTTATCGATCCCAAACGATAAACCATTTAAGAATCCTAGCTCCTCGTTTTCTCCTCCTCCTCACTGCTGCTCTGCTCCGCCTCCTCCTCTGTGATGAAGAGACACAAACTTTTTTTCTTCTAGTCTATAAAAGGTTCATCACACCTTCATCCTCTCTCTCTCTCTTGTGCTATGAGCCTCGTTCGCCCCCTCTCCCTCTCTCTCTTTCTCATCAATGCAGCTCTGTGATTGGCTGTAAGTCAGCTGTGATGTAGAACCCCCTGCCTCTCTTTGTTTAGGTGTTCTTCCTCGTTGGTGTTTCTGTTTGCAGATAAAACAGATTTATTTTTAATCAAAGAGGCGTCCATTTATAAACCCATAAAACTCAAATGTAAATGTTGATGTTTTATTTCAGGTTGAGCCTCACTGAGCTTTATATTCATAATGAAGCTGACAGACCCTCCACATGTTGATGAGCTGTGTGTGTGTGTGTGTGTGTGTGTGTGTGTTATTAGCATCTGTGAGTGGATGCAGCAGACGTGTTCTTTTATGTTTGACGTACGTTTCATAAATAATTCATGAAATTTGCTTTCTGAGAATTTAAAGCTAATTAAAGTTGTTGATGAAAACATTAAAAAAAAATTCTCCATTTTGATTAAACACTGTTTTAATTTAAAAAGACTCTCACACACTCACACATTTAATTTGTTTTTCTAATGAAGCGTCATCTGCTCGTGTTATCAAACTTTTAACAAATCCAATCCAAAACCGGGAAACTCAAGTCCATGCAAACGCCAAACGCACTCGTCGCCTGCAGAACTCTATGAGCGGTGACACATGGGTTCCTGTCAGAGTCCAGAAGCAGTCATCTTGAAACGCGTACTGTGCAGCAGCGTCTGAACCAAACCTGAGTGTCCTTCATGGAGAGAGTACATCACACAAAGCAGAGGAACAAACACGAGCAGTTTGTTTAGAGATTCCATCGACATAGTCCTCAGTCATTCTGAATGTGAAGGTTACAGTTATTCAAACATCAGGGTGAGGTTGTGTATGAGTCACTTTCTTCAGTAAGTGGATATAAGGCGTCTTTGTTTCCTTTTGGTTTGGACATTTTTGTGTGCGTAATAATAATAATAATAATAACATGCTATCACTGATTGCACAGCTCCATATGTCAATACTCTGTTTTTGCACATTTACATCGACCTTCAGCAAAGTATGTTGTATTTAATCTTTTCATATTTAAGACTAGAAGTAATGCTAAGTTAAATCCTGGTTGTATATATTATCATTCTTAGTTTTGATGTTTTTAGTGCTTATTTATTTTGTATTTAATATCTTATTGTGTTTATTTGCTAATATTGTGTTTTTGGATAACCATGATTTCCCAGTTTGGGATCAAAAAAGTTATTCTATTCTATTCTATTCTATGCTCATGTTACGACTTCAGCTGTTGCGCTTTTCTTTCCTGTTTTGAGAAGTTCAGAGGGGAGTATTTAGAAAGTGAGTGAGTGAATATTTAGTTATTTTATTTTGGTGAACTTCCTCCAAACCTTTATGTATTACTCTTCGACGTAAAAGCAGTCTGTGACCTTCAGAGTGACCTTTAGAGGGGGGCTCTAATTTATGATGCACACCAACACTTTAGTGACAAAGCTGCTCATTCCTGGTAAAAGTGTGAATGCTTCTGTATTGGAGTGAAAACCCCACCCTTTTGTGTGTGTGTGTGTGTGTGTGTGTGTGTGTGTGTGTGTGTGTGTGACTTTTTTTGTGTGCAGATCCTGATTTCTGTGCGAGTGCATTCCTTCATGCCAACGGGCAAATATCTCCAGTCTGCTACAAAAGCCCAGCTGCTTCTCTGGCGGCCATGATTGATTGATTCTTCAGAGACAATCTACCAATCAGCTGATCATGTTTCAGTCAAGAAGAAGACTCCGACCTCTCAGACAACGCTCAGGGGAAAAACATCAAAACGCTTTGTCTAAAGGTTTAACAATAAGATCGATCACAGGATCATTTTAATTAATGCAGTTTATTGACAGGTGTGATCTGACAGATAAAAAACATTCATCAGTATTCATCAGTGACACATTGTGGTGCTGCCCCCTGGTGTTTAGTCTGAGTGTAACACTTTATCATGTGAAAGGAAAATCCACTTCCTGTTATTTCTTTCCAAAGCCCAGGGGGTCTTTGGTGTCTCCGCCCGTTTTCTCATCGCCGCGCTGCAGGTCAGAGCCCAGGTTTGTTATCAGACAGGTGGCAAGGTTGCAGCGAGGGCGGATAAAGATACTGAAAAAGACAGGTAAGACAACAGGTGAGGCAACAAGTGAAGAAACAAGTGAGGAAACAGGAGACAACAGGTGAGACAACAGAGGAGACAACAAGTGAGGAAACAGGAGACAACAGAGGAGACAACAGGTGAGACAACAAGTGAGGAAACAGGAGACAACAGGAGACAACAAGTGAGGAAACAGGAGACAACAGAGGAGACAACAGATGAGACAACAAGTGAGGAAACAGGAGACAACAGGTGAGACAACAAGTGAGGAAACAGGAGACAACAGAGGAGACAACAAGTGAGGAAACAAGTGAGGAAACAGGAGACAACAGAGGAGACAACAGGTGAGACAACAAGTGAGGAAACAGGAGACAACAGAGGAGACAACAGATGAGACAACAAGTGAGGAAACAGGAGACAACAGGTGAGACAACAAGTGAGGAAACAGGAGACAACAGAGGAGACAACAAGTGAGGAAACAAGTGAGGAAACAGGAGACAACAGGTGAGACAACAAGTGAGGAAACAGGAGACAACAGAGGAGACAACAAGTGAGGAAACAAGTGAGGAAACAGGAGACAACAGAGGAGACAACAGGTGAGACAACAAGTGAGGAAACAGGAGACAACAGAGGAGACAACAGATGAGACAACAAGTGAGGAAACAGGAGACAACAGGTGAGACAACAAGTGAGGAAACAGGAGACAACAGAGGAGACAACAGGTGAGACAACAAATGAGGAAACAGGAGACAACAGAGGAGACAACAAGTGAGGAAACAGGAGACAACAGGTGAGACAACAAGTGAGGAAACAGGAGACAACAGAGGAGACAACAGGTGAGGAGAACACCTGGCTACACAGATCAAAGTAAAGTTCAGTATGTGTACAGGTGAGGAATCCTTTGATTTGTAGAGTTGTAGAAAGATTTCTACTGGACTTCTGCAGGTAAGTGATAAAGAGTAATCTCTTATAGTCCTTCAACGTGAAGAACACACCTGTACAGACTACACCTGATTGGTTAATGAATTCATGAATGAACACATCACGTACGTTGGCCGATCAAACAGAGGCTCGTTCATCGAGTCGTTTCTGAAAAACAAAGAAACACAAACAGAAGAATGAATCTCGAGCTGCAGTCAGATAAAATACCACTTCCATCCTCAACCTGTGTGCTATCAGTGTGGACAGGTAAGTCCACCACAGAGGAAGTTGTAAAATAATTATGCACAGGTGTGTTTTTTTATAAACTCAGTTCAGTTTTATCGTGAGGGTGAAAATATGAAACTGACCGCGGGTGCTCGACCAGACTCCAGTTCACGTTGGGATGAGACTCGAACCTGAAACACAAACAAAAACACAACGCGGGACTTTTTCTCTCTGCATGGACCAAAGCAGGAGGAAGCATGAGGAGCTGTTGGAGAGGGGATCAATAAACGCTCACCTGGTGGAGTTCTCCTGAGCGTACCTGTGCAGGTGAGGACTCGGTGTGATGTTTTCATCACGACTGCACACAGGAAACACAAACATGCACAAATTAATTCTTACACATTAAAATAAAAGCATTTGAATGTTTCACCTGTTTTTTTTTTAAATCTCACCTGAACGGAGGAAGAGGACCGGCTGACACCAACGACATCATCACCATCATCATCATCATCTCGGTCAGAGCGATCATCCTCACAGGGAGAGAGAGAGAGGAGGGCAGCTCGCTCGCCCCCTCACACTGTATATATACACACTGTGCCTCAGGGTCACATGATCACCTGAAACCTGAGTGAAGGTCAGCGTTTGTCTGTGTTTATGTATTTACTCTGACTTTATCAGCTGTGACATCATCAGCTCCATGAGAACTGCGTGACCTTTGACCTTACCTGTTTGATTAACGTGAGAACTCGCACTCACACAACCCGGATCAAAGATTATTTGTCGACCACCTTAGAATCAATAAGTTTCAGGATAATAAATAAGAAGCTTTTGACAATAATGTCTGGATTGTCAGCTAGCCAATGTTGTTCACACTCACATGTTCCCTAATGTGGCCCTTCAGGGCCTCCGTACCTGGGTTTGATTTGTGTCGTTTGTCCAAAGATTTTCACACATCGATGAATAAATCAGAAACAAAAAAATCACAACCAACAAATTGTTTATTTTCTTGAACACGTTAAGAGTTTTTATAAGTTAATAGAGACAAAAAAAACACACAAACTGCTTCCTGCGTGAGTCGCTCTCAGCTGACAGAACAAACTGCACATCAATCATCACCAGGAGTCACATGATCTACTTCCTGTTTCTGAACATCAAAGGGAACGATTCACACGTTGGTCAAAAAAAAAAAAAAAAAAAGCATTTAGAGGAAAAACAACGATTTAGATAAATCTGGAATCACTGTACAAACATGAAGACAAGGACGCTCACATCAATCACAGCTGTGTGTGTGTGTGTGTGTGTGTGTGTGTGTGTGTGTGTGTGTGTGTGTGTTTAACGGAAGTCCTCGGCGCAGAACATGCCCTTGGCGCGGCGCAGGATGGAGTCCTTGGACGCGTCATAAGGATGCTCTTTGGACGGGATCTCCAGCACGGCGGGGATCGACTCCATGTGGCCGTCGATGGCGTGGCGGATCATCTCGGCGATGAACTGGTTGATGAGGATGATGCCGATGTCGGTACGAGCCAAGAAGCTCCTGCAGAGAGGAAGACAAGGACGGGTTCAAATCAGTGGAGAAAAAGAGACGGTCACTAAACTGGAAAGTAACTGAGCGATGATGCTTGTTGTAATCCCTACAGCGCCCTCTGCTGGTGACAGAACTGCTGGTGTAATACAGTGAAACTCAAATTAAATGCTGTTTGACTGCAGACTGAATTTTGTAATATATGAGCACATCTGCAATGAAATTAGCCGATACTGATCGTCACTTGATACGCTGATATCGGCCGGGATTATATAACTATCGGCTGGTCGATTTATCGGTCGGGCTCTGATTTTAACAGACAGTTGCTGCAGGATGACACTGAAATCTTAGAACTACAATTTTCAATTTCTTTAGTCAGGATAATCTGCTGCTCTGTGAAATACTTTTGATAATTCAAAACAAAATTGATTGTTGAATGGAGTTTTGTTGGAGGATCAGGATCTTTTCAGACATATGTTAACTACATCAGGTGATTCCGTCACTGCACCAGATTCAATTCACGAAACAATAAATTTACCATTCTGATAAAAACAGGACAGTGTTAAAGTCTGTGTTTATAAAACACCACAGATTATGTATCCCTCCTGCTATCGGCCTCATTCATTCACCGAGATCTCACTTCAGTCCTTCATGATTTCGCATTTTCACCTGAGGGAAACCGTTCACAGTGTAGCGAATTAAAGCCTTAAATGATGTGATTTCTAAACGGGGTTTGGTTTACAGTAAACACTCACTTGAAGGTCTCCTCGATCTCCGCGATGCTCGTGTCCTTCTCCACCACTAAGAAATTCGGTTTTCGGTTCTTGTTGAGCTCACCGACCCCGCCGAGCAGGAACCCGGTGCACGTGTCCTCATCACCGATAACGGCGATCAGTTTCCCGCGTCCGGCCATCACGGAGCTCCGGTGTGCAGAAAAACAAGAGAAAACCCCTCAAGGAGAAGAAGAGAGGAATTTAGCTTCTCTGTGACAGATGCTACAGGTCATGTGATCGCGTCAGCTGACCGTCACTTCCGCTTTCCTTCTGCTCCCACTGGCAGGAAGTACGTCACAAAACGGATCGATAATTAAATCAGACACTATCGATCATGATGAAACCGTTTTGATTGTTTTTTTATCTATCAAACACGAACTGGTCAAATAACAGCCAGTGACGTCACGTTAAGACAGGAGCCTGCTGCCTTCAGGTGTTCCACGTAAATCTTAGCTTTAAACTGTAAACTAGTATTAGTACAATATTCAAAGTGGAAAGAGGGACCCTTCTATTAAACCCGTTTGATTGTTATTAAAACGGAATTTAAATGTCCAAATAAACAGCTATAAAATGTAAGAAAGTGCTAAAAATAAATAATATTATTAGTTTGCTGTTTTGATGTGTTATACATTTTTACATCATCTTACATCCAAGTTAAATATGCAGTCATTGCAGAAGATATGCTCTTATTATTTTATTTGTCTGTATGTATTTATTTATTTGTTTTAAAATGTTCGAAATAAAACAAATTAAACGTATTTTTGACGAGTCCTTTAATTTCCAACAGCACCTGAAGGCCTCGCAGCAGTCACGTGAGGATCACACGCACAGTAAAGCGGAAATGCAGCACAGCTACAACAGCTGATTAAAACAGAAGAAGAATGGTGAGTTCTGTTGTTTTTTAATATATTTTAAGTTCATTATAAAGTTGTTTATGTCTCCGTCACGACCACGTGACCCGGATGTTTTTAAATAGTGAGACCAGAAGAACTCTGTTTAGCCTGTTAGCAGTTAGCCTGTTAGCTCACTGGGAATATTGTTGTTTGTTTTCAGACCACAGCGGCTCTCACGGCGGGTCTGGAGCGGATACCGGATCAGCTCGGGTACCTGGTGATCAGTGAGGACGGAGTTCTGGCTGTGAGTAACTCTGAACCGAACTCCATTGAACTTTATGTGAAGTTAACATCCAAACCCCTTTTAATAAGGTCTTTCAGGGGTTCCTCAGGGTAGTATCCAAGGCCCCTTACTTTTTATTCTTAATAGATATTAATTATTGAGCTGTGGAAAAGAGCTTTTCTTTTTTGTGAAATAAATTGAACATTGTTTTTTGTGCTTTTCATTTTGTACTTTTGATGTTTTCTTTTTGGGCTTTTTTTGTGCCTTTAATGTAGAGATAGAACAGTAGAGAGAGAGAGAAAACAACATATGGGAAAGAAGCCACAGGTGGGAGTTGAACCCGGGCCGCCCGCTTGAGACGACAGCCTCCATACATGGGGCACGCGCACTAACCACTGCGCCACCAGCGCCCTATTTGATATGTTTGATTTTATTTGATATGTCTGAAATAAATGTAATCAATCGATTCTGTATATTAATAATCTCCCAAACGGGAGTTTGGTTCCAAAGATCCGGCGCAAGTCAGGAACGCATCATTAGATTACTCACAGCATCAGGGTCAGAGGTCATTCTTTCATACAGACACTAAAGTCTGGAATGAGGTCCCTCATTATATCAGGACAACAACATCAGTTAGCATTTCTATCATGCATTTAAACACTTACCTATCAGGTGGATGACCTCTGACCTCTGTGTGCCCTCCTCAGTCTGCAGGTGAGCTGGAGAACGATGAACACACGGCAGGTGTGATGATGCAGATGGTGAGAACGGCGAGTCGATTCAGGTTACCTGGATCAGCTGATCCTCCCTTCAAGCGCATGTCAGGTAACACACACACACACACACACACACACACAGTCAGCTTAAGGTGACCCTCACACCTGTTCTCACCTGTTCTCACCTGCTCTGTCTCAGTGATTCTGGAGGACTTCGTCTACACTGTGACGGTTTCAGGTCAGAAAGTCTTCGTGGTCAAACGTCAGAACAACCAGCAGGAGCCAATCAGTGTTTAGACGAGACGGACGGACGAGACAGAAACTGAGGGGATGATGACGGGCTGATCTTAGGGGTCAGAGGTCACTTGTTTGAGCAGGACGTGTGATGTGTTTTTAACTCTGTTCAACTGTTAGATTTATATAAAGTTGTGTGTTTGAATTTATGTTTAACCTGAAAATAAAGATTTAAAAATGATCGTTTGATTCCTGCTCATGTTGTTATGTGTCTACTGTGGCTCAGTGGGTAGAGGTTGAGGGTTCAATCCCCAGCTCAAAGCATGCAGCACATGCTATACAAGCTCAAATCCATTTACACTAAATTAAGGAGTGATCACTGAAAAAACCTGACCGGCCTGGGTTTGAATTGTTTATCTTCAGCAGCCAATAGGAAGAGAGGACAGCAGCGTACGCCTGAGATAATCAGCCCTCTAAACTCAGATATCTCTCTCCTCTTCTCAGGACGCCACCTGCTGGTTAGGTTCTGAACTTCACCCTCACTTCACTCATCCACACATCGATCTATGTGACTTATTATTAATCTTTAGTTCATTGTTAATAAATTCCTTTAAACGTGATTTCCTTCTTTGACACTTTGATCCAGTTGATGACAAAACAGTGTTGACTGCTGCAGCTCCCTTCTCTTTGGTCTCCCTCTCAAGTCCATCCACAAACTTCAACTGGTCCAGAACTCTGCCGCTCGCATCATCACCAGAACGCCCTCTGTCAATCACATCACTCCTGTCCTACAGCAGCTTCATCGGCTCCCGGTTAAACATCGCATCACCTTCAAAACTCTGCTTCTCACCTTCAAGGCCATCCACAACCTCACCCCGCTTCACCTCTCTGAACTCCTGCACATCAACACACCTACTCGCACTCTCAGGTCTTCTTCTACAACTCACTGCACCACCTGCCCGCCCGCCTGTCCACCATGGGGGTCCAGGGCCTTCAGCCGCTCTGCCCCCCCCCCCACAAAACCGTGATATCGACTCTTTCTCCATTTTCAAATCTCATCTCAAAACAACTGGCATTAAACTGGCATATTCAGTCTGATCATTCTTCACCCGTTCTCATAACTCCTTCACATCTTGTACGTTTGTGTTTTTAATGTTAATTTTATCGTTGTGTTGTTACTTTGTTTTAATCTCTGCTCTGTAAGGTGACCTTGAGAGTTTAGAAAGGCGCCTTTAAATAAAATGTTTTATTATTAAAACAAACAAACAGCTGAGAAGAAAAAAAAAACCTTTATTGCATCATCGTTATTTCATATTCTTCTTCTGCACATCGTTTAGGAATGACGAGGCCTTCAGGTACGGAATGAGCCATAACACCACCAGGTAACTGTAACCTGTCTTTATCCCCGCCCCCGCCCACAGGTGCACTGTCACCTGTAATAAACCCCTCCCCCTGGTCCACTGTCACCTGACGTGAACCCTGCCCCCTTCACACAGGTACACTGTCACCTGTAGTTAAACCCCGCCCTCAACCACAGCTGTAATGTAACCTGTCTGGAGCCCCGCCGTCCCACCTGGTCAACTTGGAGTCACATGATTCAGAGTTTAAACATGCGGAGTAAAAGAAAAAAAAAAAAAGTCTGCAGGAACAAGAGAAGAAGAGCATGATGGGAAATCAAGGTGAGCTCAGAGTCCATGACATCACTTCCTCTAAGACACATTTATAATTTAAAAAAAACAAAAAAAAAAACAAGATCAGTCCTTTAAAACTCCTCCCCCTCCTTGTCTTCTTCATTTGTGGTGAATTCGGTTGATGACATCACACAGCTGCTTCCTGTGAGGTGATCTAACGTTTGGACAGCTCAGTGGACAACCAATCAAGACCCTCGTATAGACCCGTCCCCTGAGTCGCACAGGTAGCCTGAACGTACCACTGAGAGACAGACAGGTGAGGGAGAGACAGGTGAGGGAGAGACAGGCGAGGGAGACACAGGTGTGGCATTAGACACATTTTCATAACTGAGTTCTGCTGTGTGTATCTGATCGTGAACTACACACATGCAGCTGTGTGTGAGTGTGTGTAGCTGTGTGTGAGTGTGTGTAGCTGTGTGTGAGTGTGTGTAGCTGTGTGTGTGAGTGTGTGTAGCTGTGTGTGAGTGTGTGTAGTTTTGTGTGTAGCTGTGTGTGAGTGTGTGTAGTTGTGTGTGAGTGTGTGTAGCTGTGTGTGAGTGTGTGTAGTTGTGTGTCACTCACAGTCCTGTTGCGCAGGCCGTGCAGACCCAGTTTGTCCGTGAGTTCGCTGACCGCCATGGCGTTGGGAAGATCCTGTTTGTTGGCAAACACCAGGATAACGGCGTCCTTCAGCTCATCCTCCTGGAGCTGTGGACAGAGGAGGGTCATGTGACTCATGACATCATGGCGCTACTGTCATGTGACCGATGACATCATAGATGAAATGTGGATGTCGTTTCTTACCATCTTGGAGAGCTCCTCTGCCGACTCTGTGACTCTCTCTCTGTCGTTACTGTCCACCACGAAGATCAGACCCTGAACGCACCCCACACACACACACACACACACACACACACCTTTATATTAGAGCAAAACATTTACATACAAGTATGTTTACCTGTGTAGCTTTGTGTCTGTGTACCTATGTGACTGTGTGTCGTACACCTGTGTACCTGTGTGTTTTGGAAGTAGTGTCTCCAGAGAGGTCGGATCTTGTCCTGACCTCCGACGTCCCACACTGTGAAACAGATGTTCTTATACTCCACTGTCTCCACGTTAAACCCTGAAACACACAAACAAACATGTAAACACACACGTTAAAAAACAACAAATACAACAGTTTAAAAAAATCAAACAGATTGTTAAAAGAAATGCAAATAAACAATATGTAAACAAACAAGTAAACAGTGCTTTCTTCCTCTCTCTCTCACACACACACACATCAGGGTTTCCTGTGTGTATCAACTGACTTCCTGTCACCTATCAGCTGCTCTTGTCACATTTCAGAACCGTAACCATGGTGACAGTCTGACATTTGTTCCCTTAGTAAACTGTGTGTTAAGCGACACCAGAGATCCTCTGTGCGTGTCGATGTTCCTCATTGTGACAACACGGTAGTATTTGTTTTTTGGCTCAGAGTGAGACCTCCTCCGTGTTCGTAGTCACTGTGAGTAAAGGATCTCTCAGAAAGTCAAAGATCCAGGTGTAATCAGCTGATCTTCGAGCTACACGTGTCTCTGCGGGGTTATGGATCATGTTTTTTGATGTTTATAGATGTTTTTTTGATGGTTACCGATGGTCGGGATGGTGGTGACGATCTCTCCGAGCTTCAGTTTGTACAGGATCGTCGTTTTTCCAGCTGCGTCCAAACCCACTGAAACAATCAGAAAATGAGACAATAAGATGAGAGAAGAGTCGCAAACAGCTGCACACAAACCCTCTTTAAACCTTTTGTTTACTTAAACGGCTACACACACGGATGCTGACGCTGATAACCCTCGACAAAACGCATCTGACCCAGCTTCCGTTAGACACCGCGGCTAATCATTTAAAGCATCTATTTGAAACTATTTCTTATATTTGAGTCGTTAGTTCAACCATTAAGAACTTCACGATTAATATTTATGTCGTATTTAAATCTGAATGTTAAATAAGAGTCACAAAGAGGAGTTTCTTCCTCCCGCCCGCCCCTGCCCGGTTAGCCTCTGAGCTAGTTAGCCTAGCCTAGCTCACCCATCAGTATCCTCATCTGCTTCTTCCCGAACAGTTTGGTGAACATGTTGGAGATCGTGAGACCCATCTTTAACCTCCTCGGTGTCCCGGCTCACAGGCGGGACGATGAACAACCTGACGCGGGGGGGGAGAAGTCGGCCGGTGAAGTCCGGGGGGGGGGAGAAGCTGCTGCTTTGACGCCGCAGGAGAGAGACGGAAACAGGCGAAGTAACGGGCGGAGAGGGCGCAGCTCCTCCTCGGTGCCACGTCCAGGCCAACGCGGAACAAATGACGTCACTGTAAAGTAGAAAAAAAAGAAAAACTTTATTAAAATTAAATCGACAATGCTGCGTTCAGGTGTAGGCAGAAAGGCGGTCAATTCGAATATCAGACATGATTCATCGGTTGAAACGGAGACTAATCTGAATTAATCATAGATTGTAACATAACATAATCTATAAAACACATATTTCATATAAAATATTATCATTTACAGTCTGTGGTATTAATCATCAATAAATTAATTCAAACTAATTTTTCGTGTATGCAAATACATGTAAGTTTCACGATTGTTTGTAACTGTATTCATTAATGAAAGTCTTTTTTATCCAAATATCTGCGTCAGTTTTTATCCTTTTGACAGATCTGTAAAGTATTTAACCGCCACTCTTATTTCCAGCTGTTTGAATGTAATACACTGTAACCATTTTATTATACCGTAGATTATTAATCAGAATTATCACATGGATAAACAACATTGGTTTAAATATATATACATTTAAAAGTCTTTATAATACATTTGACTAATTATGAAACTGAAGATGATTTGTTTAATTCTGTTTTATTCTTGGGTTGTGAAACTTTATTCTCTAAGCTGGTTATTGTAATAATATAAAGCTGTACAGACTATTTAGGAGCTACGTTGAAACTTAGTTAAAGTGCCAGATATAACTTATTCTTATAAAAAACGTATTTCATCGTGTGTTTTCCTGACAGCATTGAACGCAGCATCATATTCCCGCCTCCTCGTCCTGCTCCAGTTCCGGTTTGGACCAACATGGCGGCCGTTAGCTTACAGTGTCCAGCTCATCGGATAAACTCTGAGTTTGTTTTGTTATTTTACATGTTTTTCTGATTGAATTAGTCACACCAGGTGGATTTTGTGTTCACTGTTAAGTTGCTAAACACCGACAGTTGGTCTGTGTCTCCGCTGGAGGCTGTTTTCCGGGTAAGAACCGTAAATTAAACCGGGATAATAACATCAGCTGTTCAACTTTCATCTTCCGCATTTCTGACTTCAGACTCAGTGAAAGTTTAGACATGACAACTTTACAAAGAGACAACTGATGCTCTCTGGAAATCAAATATATAAAAAAGATCATTTAAAAACAATCTCTCTGTTTAATCAAATGTTGTTATTGTTGTTGTTGTTGTTGTTGTTGTTTTTGTGACGTTTTGGTCGCCAAAGCAAAAACACAAAATAAAATCCACAATATATTAGAGATGTAACGGTACGTAAACATTTCGGTTCGGTACATAAACATTTCGGTTCGGTACGTAAACATTTCGGTTCGGTTCGGTAAAGGGACCTGATGCAACACTTTGTGCAGCATCGACAGCTCAGACTTGTTCACCTGCTCAGGTAACTTTTTAATAACATTTTAAATTAAACATTGTAAAAAAAAAACTTATGCTGCTTCCTTCAACCAAAAGAGTCTCCAATAAATAAAAGATATGAATTAAATAAAGTATTTTAGAATGAAATGAAGTAATTAATATAGCCTATATGTAAAAATATTTATATTTAATTTCACTTCCACCTTTTAGTTTATGAAGACAACAGTTTTTTGAATGTCCTTTGAGCACATAATAAACATAATCACATCTGGGACAGTTTCATCGTAGAACTGTTAATATTTCCCTCTGTTGATGTAAGAACTTTCACGGCATTTGTTATGTCTTTGGCCCGTTCAGAATTACTATCAGAAGGTTTTCTGTTGGGGAGGGAGGTGTTCATTCTGTCATGCTGCAGGTTATTCTCCCACACACACGCGTCTCCCCTTTCAGGCAGCAGCGCTGCTGGAGCGGGATCATCGCTGAAAATGAAAACAAAACTTAAAAGTCCGTAAAAGGAACTCCATCCTAGTTACATGTAACTGTCCAGACCAACAGGACCCGAGGAGCTAGTAATCTGCACAGTTTATGTTTGAACTTTTTTACAATTTATTAACTAAAAGTTGTGTCCCATATCCGCTGCCGCAGCCTTCCTTCACACTGAGGTGTGCTCCCGCTTTGCGGTCCGTGTGGGAACACAGATTAAAGCACTTCTGTTCCGAGCGTACTCAGATCGGTCCGGTCCGAGTACGTGTACCTTTACACCCCTACAATATAATCATTAAATGGGGGGTTTCTTCCCCCATCCTCCAGAAAAGAGGACAGACCAGAGGGCTTCACCCTGTCCCGGATCTCATATCCTCCTGTCTGTTCATTGGGTCGCTCTGTGCACAAACTCCTGATGTTTGTTTATGTTTGTTTATGTTTCAGAAACCAATAAACCCAGTCCTAGTCCAGTTCTTGTCATGATCAGCAGCTGACTCAGACCCATTCCGACCCTGACGGACCATCAGAGCCATGGAGAAGTTCGGGATGAGTTTTGGGGGCGGTCCCGGCAGGAAGGAGCTGCTGGACACCATCGAGTCCCAGAAGAAGCAGCTGGTCCAGTACCAGACCCGGTTTAAAGATGTGGTCCGAGCCTACAAGAGTCTCATGAAGGAGAAGGAGGCTCTGGAGGCCAGTGTGAAGGTCCTGTCTGTGACCCAGGAGCTGGACCTGAACCAGCAGGATACCACCTCCTCTGACCTCCCAGATGACGGCTGCTCGCTGCACAGCGAGGACAGCCTGGACACGGCGGCGTCCATAGACACGGCAGCGTCCGTGGATACGCCCAGCGAGACCGCCAGAGGGGACCAGAGTGAGGAGGACCAGGGAGAACCAGCCAGGAAGTCCAGCTCAGCGGTACATTTGTTAAAGTCTGTCATAGTTTAGAGACCGAAACATCATTTTATAAAATTAATAAACAAACTACACCTGTTAACCCTTAAATACAGCTGTGACCCCTAAACTACAGCTGTGACCCCTAAACTACAGCTAGGACCCCTAAACTACAGCTGTGATTCCTAAACTACAACTATGACCCCTAAACTACAGCTGTGACCCCTAAACTACAGCTGTGACCCCTAAACTACAACTATGACCCCTAAACTACAGCTGTGACCCCTAAACTACAGCTGTGACCCCTAAACTACAGCTAGGACCCCTAAACTACAGCTGTGATTCCTAAACTACAACTATGACCCCTAAACTACAGCTGTGACCCCTAAACTACAGCTGTGACCCCTAAAGTACAGCTGTGATTCCTAAACTACAGCTGTGACCCCTAAACTACAGCTATGACCCCTAAACTACAGCTGTGATTCCTAAACTACAACTATGACCCCTAAACTACAGCTGTGACCCCTAAACTACAGCTGTGATTCCTAAACTACAGCTGTGACCCCTAAACTACAGCTAGGACCCCTAAACTACAGCTGTGATTCCTAAACTACAACTATGACCCCTAAACTACAGCTGTGACCCCTAAACTACAGCTATGACCCCTAAACTACAGCTAGGACCCCTAAACTACAGCTGTGACCCCTAAACTACAACTATGACCCCTAAACTACAGCTGTGACCCCTAAACTACAGCTGTGACCCCTAAACTACAGCTATGACCCCTAAACTACAACTATGACCCCTAAACTACAGCTGTGACCCCTAAACTACAGCTGTGACCCCTAAACTACAACTAGGACCCCTAAACTACAGCTATGACCCCTAAAGTATGACCCTTAATCATGAAAATGTTCTTATATTTAAAGTTCTCTGTGATGTCTCTTCCTGCAGTGGCTGAGGTCTGACCCTGATGCTGGCAGCTCAGATGGCAGCAGCGTGGGGGCGGAGCCTCAACATGCAGCGCCCCCTCCCAGCATGGAAGCAGACCGCCGTGTCATCCAGTTAAAGGGCCAACTGAGCACGCTCACCGGCGCCCTGGCTACGGTGACACAGGAGAAGTCTCGGATGGAGGCGAGTTTCCAGGCCGACAAGCGTCAGCTGAAGCAGGAGATGGAGGAGCTGCGGGAGCGCCTGGCCACCATGACAACGCAGCAGGAGGCGGAGCTACATGGGCTGCTGCAGCAGCTGGCGGAGAGCCGCGCTCGCGTCATCACGCAGCAGCACGAGAGGGAGCAGGAGCAGGGAGACCACGTCCAGCAGCTCCGAGAGCTGCAGAGGCTCCTGCAGCAGGAGAGAGACCTGAGACAGGACGCAGACCTCCGCCTACAGGACGCCAACTCCACCATCTTCCTCAACTCTCAGGCCGTGGACCGGGGGGCGGAGTCCCAGGCTCTACTGAGCCAGGTGAGGGCTGAGAGAGACGAGCTGAAGAGGAGGCTGCAGGTCGCCGAGGAGAACCAGAAGAAACCAGATCCCAGAGTGGAAGAACTTCAGAGAGACCTGACGGAGCTGAAACACCACGTCCAGGAACAGATCCACCTGGAGACCAGGAAGGTAAACCTAGACCACGATCAACTTAGACCAGGTTTAGACTGAGACCAGAACACCTGCTGACACACACGTACGCACGCACGCACGCACGCACGCACGCACGCACGCACGCACGCACACACACACACACACCGCCCTGCTCTGTGATGTCATTGTTTCCTCTTTGTGCTCCTGCAGGTGAGCGATTCAGAGGAGCGTGCTCATGAGCGCGCTCAGTCTGCAGAGGCTCGGGTCGCCAGTCTGGAGGAGCGAGTCTCCGAGTTGTCCGAGCTTCTCGGTTCCTGTGAGAAGACCCGGCAGAGAGACCAGCAGCTCGCTCAGAGACTCAGGGAGCGGATCCTGCAGCTCGACACGGAGAACAAAACGCTCGCCATGGCGGCGTCCAGCAGGATGAGCGGCGAGCTGGGCATGGACGAGTCTCAGCTGGACGTGGTCGCTCTGAGGGAAAAGATGGAGAAGCTGAAGAAGCTGCTGCTGCTGGCGACTCAGAGGAACCCGGACCACGACATCCAGAACCTGGCAGAGACGGATCTGGAGCTGAGCAGAGACAAAGGCTCGGCGCTCGTCTACCAGCAGGAGCTGCGTCAGCTCAGGGACGAGTTCGAGCGCTACAAGCTGCGAGCGCAGGTCGTGCTGAAGAACAAGAACGTCAAAGATGGCTGCCAGGCCAAGGAGCTGGAGGAGGTGCGGGACCAGCTGTCGGAGGTGAAGGAGAAGTACATCAACCTGCGCATCCAGAGCGACGAGGCAGAGGCCGCTCACCGCCGCCAGCTGGAGGAGCAGCAGCAACAGGCGGCGGCGCTGCAGCAGACTCACCGACAGGAAGTGGAGCGAGTGGAGGCGTTGCACCGTGAGGACCTGCTGCGACTGGAGGCGGAGCTTCACAAACAGAGAGAGAGGACCATGGCGCTGCTGGACGAGAAGGACCGGGAGCTGGAGCAGCTACGTGCCCTCGCGTTCAGCTACACCAACAACGGCGCCAAAACCGCAGAGGAGGAGCACGAGTCGGGCGGCGAGAGTGAGGGTGACATCATCAGCCAGGCCCTGCGACGGGCGACGAACACCGAGCCCACGCTGCTGCTGTACGCCGAGCAGCTGGCCAGGAAGGAGGTGGAGGTGGGCGGGCTGCGGCGGCAGAAACACCGGTTGGAGGAGGACCTCCACCAGCTGCAGGCGAAGCTCATCGCTAACGCAGAGCGCCACGAGGAGGAGGCGTCCGAGCTGCGAGGGCGACTGGACAAGCTGAGTCGAGACCAGAGTCGAGAGGGCGCCAACATGGAGTACCTGAAGAACGTCATCTACAAGTTCCTGACGCTGCAGGACGCCAGCGGGAAGCAGCAGACGCTCACCGCCATTCTGACCATCCTGCACTTCAGCCCGCAGGAGAAAGTCAGCGTGATGAGGCTGCAGGGCGCCACCTGGTGGACGCCCAGCAAGAGGAAATAATGAAACAATATCAGGAATGTGTCGTCATGGTTACATTGATGAAAAACTGAATGAGGTTTGGCCCCTCAGAACTCTGTGTGTTTATAAATATTTAAATTAAGTTCATGAATCTCACTGTGATAGAAAATAACTAAACACCCTAATATGTATATTTTTGAATCCCTCGTTCAAATTAAACTATTTTTCCTGCTTCACAAACAGTTTGATTCATTTTGATGTTTTAAAATTCATGACAGCTCAGGTGAGGTCACATGGTGTTAAAGGTGAGGACAGGTGAGGTCACATGGTGTTAAAGGTGAGGACAGGTGAGGTCACATGGTTTTAAAGTTGAGGACAGGTGTGGTCACATGGTGTAATAATTGAGGACAGGTGAGGTCACATGGTGTTAAAGGAGAGTACAGGTGAGGTCACATGGTGTTAAAGGAGAGGACAGGTGAGGTCACATGGTGTAATAATTGAGGACAGGTGTGGTCACATGGTGTAATGATTGAGGACAGGTGTGGTCACATGGTGTTCTATAAATAACATGAATAGATATAATCCACGACACGACTCAATGTGACAATTCAGGTTTTACTTTTGAAAGAAACAAATTATTTACATTTTGAAAATAAACAACACAATATTATTATTAGTGTTACATTCACTGACTTCAGTTTGTGTGGGAGAAAAGTGATAGAAAAATACCGTCATCTGTTAGTTAATCTGTATTTTAAATAAAAATAAATAAACAAAAGTGGATCTAAGTAAACAGAAAACTTTTAGCATTTTTCTGAATTAAAACAAAGTACTAATCCACATCGTCTGAAAGAAAAAGCCTTAACTTAAACCAGAATATTCCCATAAGACACGGTGAGAATTGGCTCAATGCTCAGAGAAAAGACGTCGCTTAATGTGAATACAGTCGTACTATTTCAGAACATCTCAACCACTTTTCCTCCGTCCCTTTTTAGACGTAACACCAAGAGTTGATCCAACGTTTACGATCCAAACATCAGACTTCAGAACAGAAACTAACAACATAAAACAAAACATTCTGCTTCAGAACAAAAAATCAAACAAACAGATTCATCAGGATTCACTAAACCTCACCATCCAGAGTCACTTCATCAGTCTCAATTTAAATTCTTAATTTTTACTAATTTTATCACAATTCATATTAATATAACCTGTCAGAATGACAACTTTAAACCAGAAGAACTCATTAAATGTCTGTTTATTGTGTGTTGAGGACGGTCTGCAGGTCTTCGGGCAGCGACTGGATGATCGAGTGAATAAAATCGTCGAGTTTTTCCACAACATCGTCTCTCACCTGCAGCTGCTGCCGCCGAGCTTTCACCTGAAAACCAAATATTCAGTCAAACAAATTAATTAAAAAACGAATACATAAATAAGTTAATGAATTGATTTGTTTAATTCTCTGAAAAACTAACCAGTTTCTCTCTGAGCTTCAGGATCAAATCCACGATCTCCACCTCTGACTTCTCTTTGGTCCAACCCAGCAGGTCCTGACAGAACACAGCACAGGTCACACAGGTGAGCTTACAGGGGAGCACAGAGGGGATGAAGGTGTTATGCAGGTATTTTATTTGTAACGGGTAAATGACTCACGGAGTCACAGATGACCTCCAGGTGGATACTCTCCAGTTTCTGAGTCATCTCTTTGTGTCGTTGGCGAAACCATCCGTCAAAGTTCGGCGACCTGAAGAACTTCCTGTAAAGATTTAAATCAACAAAATAAAAAACTTGGCGGCACCCAGAGGAGAAATAAGATAAAAGCTAAAAATGTAACCTTCCTGCTGACAAAAAAAACTCTGACTCACCTGTATAGTCCCATCCAATCACCTTTGAGCATCGAGGTGAGCTGAGGCCCCGTGTGCTCCAAAGTCGACATGAACTCGTCCTGACTGAAGGGTCGCACCTGAGGAGGAGTCTGAACACACACACAGCAACTCTGTCAACCAGGTGTGGTTTCCAGCTAATTACATCACCATGAGGTCATAACACTTCCTGTTTACCTTCCAAGCTGTCACCGACCTCTGCAGAGGCATCAAGCTCGCCATGTACCGCTCCTGACAGACAAAACACAGGGATTAAACTCAACACTACACCTGACAGACAAAACACAGGGATTAAACTCAACACTACACCTGACAGACAAAACACAGGGATTAAACTCCACACTGCACCTGACAGACAAAACACAGGGATTAAACTCCACACAGCTCCTGACAGACAAAACACAGGGATTAAACTCCACACAGCTCCTGACAGACAAAACTGCACCTGACAGACAAAACACAGGGATTAAACTCCACGCAGCTCCTGACAGACAAAACACAGGATTAAACTCCACACAACTCCTGACAGACAAAACTGCACCCGACAGACAAAACACAGGGATTAAACTCCACACATCTCCTGACAGACAAAACACGGGGGTGAAACTCAACACAGCTCCTGACAGACAAAACACAGGGATTAAACTCCACACATCTCCTGACAGACAAAACACAGGGATTAAACTCCACACAGCTCCTGACAGACAAAACTGCACCTGACAGACAAAACACAGGGATTAAACTCCACGCAGCTCCTGACAGACAAAACACAGGGATTAAACTCCACACAGCTCCTGACAGACAAAACTGCACCTGACAGACAAAACACAGGGATTAAACTCCACACAGCTCCTGACAGACAAAACACAGGGATTAAACTCCACACAGCTCCTGACAGACAAAACACAGGGATTAAACTCCACACAGCTCCTGACAGACAAAACTGCACCTGACAGACAAAACACAGGGATTAAACTCCACACAGCTCCTGACAGACAAAACACAGGGATTAAACTCCACACATCTCCTGACAGACAAAACACGGGGGTGAAACTCAACACAGGTTTTACACTCAAAGACAAAGAAACCACCACAAACAGGAAGTGACAGGTGAATTAAACACTCAGAGCGTTGCAGCGATGTGATTGGCCGTCTCACCAGCGGGATGATGAAGCTCTGTGTGAGCTCTAACAGGTGTCTCCTGATGATGGCGCTCTGGACCTCAGACGGTCTCTTCCTCTGGATGCCCTGCACACAAACACACACGATCACAGGTGAGTCTGCCAGTGTGAGGCGTTCAGGCGTGTTCATATCTGCGTGTTTTTCTCACCTTTAGGATTCTCTTGATCAGGATTTTGTCTTTGTGCAGAAACGACCTGAACGAAGTGAACACACCTGCACACAGGAAGTACACAGTTACCAAAATAAAACAGCATTATATCCTGAAGTCAGCAGAAGAAGAAAGTGAGTCATGTCACCTGGTTTGGTGTCGAGTGTTTTCAGTTTGGACGGTTTCTTCACCTTCACCTGTTTGGGTAAATCACCTGGAGGGATCAGAGATTCAAACTTTAAACTTTATTCTGAAAGTCAAAATAAAAATCTGACTTTATTCTGAAAATTTTTACTTTTCTCAGAATGATCACTAATAATTTTTTTTTTTTTTTTTACTTCAACCTGGAACAGGATGTTAGTTATGTAGACAGGAAGTGACATATTTAGTAAAAACAAGAAGTGTTTTCGTTACCCGCCATCTTGATTTCTCCGATCCGCAGGACGTGAGGCCAGCTCTGAAACGTCTTTATGAAGAACGGGTTAGTGACGCCGAGAACCACGTTAGGCCTGCACACAGGTGACAGAAAGGTGAGCTCAGACGGACAGGTGACAGGTGACAGGTTGCACACAGGTGAGATCAGACAGGTGAGCTCAGGTGTGTCGGTACTCACGGCGCCTGCGTGCGTGTGGTGTACTCTCTGAACTCGCTGTCGTGGATCGTAAAATATGGACGAAAGTCGCAGCAGAACTTCAGAGGACTGATGGCGCTGTGAGAGGACACACTGTTACCATGGCAACAACATGAACACTGCTCTTTGATTGGCTGCTAAACAACAACAAGGATTAAGAGGGATCACCTGGTCAGACTGTGAGATATATTATTGTTATAACCCTAACCCAGTTCAGGGACAGCTCTGATTGGCTGTTGCTTACCTGATGAGAGCCAGCACCGTTTCCGAGGAGACGGTGGGAGATGGCGCCATGACGACCAGCGGTTCACCCAACAACATAAGCTCCCAGAGCATCTGCAGGTGGACCAGAACCGGCTGGAAACACCTGAGAGGTCAAAGGTCAACTTTTACATATTAACAAACTATTGACTTAGAATCAATATTTCATATCTCTGTATTATTATTATTATAATAATTATAATTATTTTTATTATTATAATAATTATAATTATTTTTATTATTTTTATTATTATAATAATTATAATTATTTTATTATTATAATAATTATAATTATTTTTATTATTATTATTATTTTTATTATTATAATAATTATAATTATTTTTATTATTATAATAATTATAATTATTTTTATTATTATTATTTTTATTATTACAGCTGAAAAATCGATGTAAATAAATGAGGGACGCACTTGAAAAGGTCGAGTTCGTGGATGGTCGGCAGCAGAGTCGGAGCAGGTAGGAGTTCCTGAGGAGAAGAAATAAAACTTTATTGATCGTTCCTGTTCCTGTAGTTAATAAAGAGTCACTTCCTGTTGCTCACCTGAAGAGCGACCGCTCTCACTGGACTTCCACCTGGTTTGTCCGATTTAGAAGGAATCCGCACCTTGAAAATAAAAAACACAATAAATAAATAAAATATAAATATACTTATCTGTTATTAATCCACGAGACCACACCCCCTGCGCTCACCTGTAAGACCACGCCCATCACCGGCAGGTTGAGGGTCATTCCAGGTACGGGTGAAGGCCATTGGTCGATTTCGTGACACACTGTAAGGACAGGTGACATTTAGGTGACGTCATAGAGAAAGTTTTTTAGTTCACATTCTTAATGTAACTATGACATCATCACCTGTTTCCAGACAGGGCTCGAGCTTCTCGAAGAACTCGGGCGCGACGAGCTGCAGCAGCGAATGGAACAGGTGAGTGTACGGCAACCTGGACACCAACACCAGAGACTGAAACACACGATCAACGTCACACGATGCACGCCAAGTCACCAACGCCACGTGACCTCACAGCTCTCTGTCAAACTTATTACTTAATAGTTAATGAGCAGGTGTAAAGAACAGGTGTGAGGAGGTGTAGACAGGTGTGAGCAGGTGTAAGCAGGTGTGAGCAGGTGTAGACAGGTGTAGACAGGTGTAGACAGGTGTGAGCAGGTGTGAGCAGGTGTAAACAGGTGTAAACAGGTGTAGACAGGTGTAGACAGGTGTAGACAGGTGTGAGCAGGTGTAGACAGGTGTGAGCAGGTGTAAACAGGCGTAGACAGGTGTAGACAGGTGTGAGCAGGTGTAAACAGGTGTGAGCAGGTGTAAACAGGTGTGAGCAGGTGTAGACAGGTGTAGACAGGTGTGAGCAGGTGTAAACAGGTGTGAGCAGGTGTAAACAGGTGTGAGCAGGTGTCTCACCTTTTGAAAATATCCTCTCTTCACAGAAACATCCTTCACTTGTCTGAAATAAACGAAACCGAAGAAATGTGAAGCCTCCGTCTGCAGAGAGAAACAAGAACAGACGATCAGTAGATTTAATAAATATCAAACCAATCAGGTGATAATCGATGCTTTTACTTGAAGCTGATTGGCTCTCCTTACCTGCAGGGTGACCGGAGCGTCTCGGTTGTAAACGTCCTCTCTGGTCCTCGCCGCTCGGCGTCCCACCGACTGACGTAACCTGAAGCTGAACTGAGTGTCCCCGAGGCATCCTGGGAAATGAAGTAAAAAACACATGACCTTTGACCTCTTTGAGTCAGCACACAACCGTTCAGTGTTCAGAGGACAGGTAGTATGAACACAGGTTACCTGAGTACGAGTCGGGGAAGGACAGGTAGCAGATGCTTGTTTTCTGTCAACAAATAAAGAAGGAAACATGTTGGTTAAATCTTTAATCAACAAACTGATCCGGTTTGTGCGCAGAGGAGACGTTTGGATCATTACCTCTTTCTCAGTGAGCTTCACATCCTGAGGATACACCAACTGAAACGACACCAGACACAAAGCAGTCACACCAGATCCCATTCAGAAATCTGCTCATTTAGCGCTACGAGTTAACTTTGTGTCAATCAAGATGTTCCCACTCTGGCCTGTTCAGCATTCAGCTTTCGTCCGGGGCAGTGGATATGTGATGTTCAACATGTTGAAAAAGCAGGTGGCACAGTGCTGGATCATGATCTGATACAGCAGCAGCAGCAGGAGGAGATTGGGGGAAACGTTAAATCCTTTGAGTTTGAGCCGGATGGATGACAGTCTGTCATGGCTCTTTTTTAAGGATGCCACTGCTGTGCTGTTGTCTAGTGTCACTCCTAGATATTTGAAACAGGTCAACTTTTGTTTTTGTATTCTTTAAAAGGAAAAATAAATAAAGCAAAACACAGTTCAAATGTTGCCGAACATCCATATTATTTTAAATAAATCATTTTCATGTTCCTAAAGGTTCTTATGATGGTTCTTGTGATGGTTCTTATGATGGTTCTTATGATGGTTCTTGTGATGGTCAGGTTCTATATGTCTGTTGGGTATCGTGCACTTTGGGTTCTTGTATTTAATTATTTTTAGTATTTTGCATTTGTTATGTTCTTGTTGTTGTTTATGTTCTTCTGTGTTTGCTTTAGTTTCTTCTTGTTTTTGCTGTTTGTCAAAGCACTTTGTAAACCTGTGATTTTAAAATAAAGTTATTATCATTATTATTATTATTATTATTTTGGAGGTGGGATGTTTGCCGAACTCTTCAGTGCACTGACATCTATGAGTTTAACAGTAATTGATCATTAATAAACAGCTGCTTTGTACGAGGAGGATGACAGAATTAAAAATGCAGGTTTTTTTAAACGGGGTTTGGTTCACCTGTCTGACCCCCACACGATAAATCAGTGCACATCGCTTCAGTGATTTAATCTGGATCAACATCTAAACCGGCTCGGATCATCAGTGTCATCGACAGTAACCCCTGGTGATAACCATGCTAACCATGCTAAGCTAACACCACTGTACCTCTATGGCTTGTCCGAGCTCCAGGTCGAAGGTAACGACGCACACGCACTCCAGCCAGCAGGAGAAGCGGGCCCACGGACACCGGCTGCCGTCCCGGCGCTCCGCATCCTCACAGCGGGGAGACCCGGAGCCGTCAAACGGGTTCATCACGACCGGATCAGACCTCCATTAGCCCCCCTCTTGTCCTCCATCACAGTAACGTTAACGACACCGAGACACCGGAGAGTCGGACGGCGCTTTGGAGACCCCTGCTGGCGGAGAGACGGTACTGCACCTCATAACATAAATACACAGCAGTTTATTTCTGACACATTTATTGTTTTTTATAGAATAAAATGTTAATATTTATCTGTGTGCTCTCAATATGAGACAGGAAATGAACACAGAACATGGTTACAAACACTTTCATCATAAATCTTGTCTTGTGTCACTTGTGCCTTTGTATTTGTATTTTACATTTATCATACATTTACATTTTGCATTAATATGCACTGTCCCTAACAAATAAATAAATAATAATAAAAAATAAAAGAAATCCATTCAACAACGTATTATAATTAATAAATAAATAATTTAAAAACACAATTATGTTTTCAATAGTTGGGTCCACGCAAATATCCATGAATTTCCTTCAATTATTTTTTTTAATATATGTTAACTTTGACTTTGGGGATAAAGCTGAGTGTTTTATTTTGAAAAGGTCGTCCCCGGAAGTGTGCGGAGCATGTTCCGGTAGATATCGCCGGTTGGTCGTACGGTCGGTTTCAGTCAGTCTCCGTTGTTAACTGGACGTTCATCATGTCTTCAGACCCGTGCTCCTTCTCCTCGTTCGCCAGGTGCGTCACCAAACACCTGAACCTGTCGCTGCACGTGGACTTCGACAGACGCGTCATCAAGGCCAAGGTGGAGCTGACGGTGGAGGTTCTGGAGGACCGGTTCTCCGCTCTGGTAACGTTAACGGACCCCTTTACTCCTGTTAGCCTGAGAGCTAACGAGATGAGTGTTCTGAATTCAGACAGCGAGCGTGGGTCCGTGAAGGCATCATGAAATAAAGTTAAATAAAAATAAACACAGCCGGACTCACGTCATCAAAACGTCAGATTGTAGAAACCAGAAGATCAACTTTGATTTTCTGTTTAAAAAAAGAAGATTAAAGTTGAACAGACGCGTCAGATTTCACTTTGTTTACTTTATCAACATGTTGTGCATCTTAACATCTGCTGCTCCAGCTGATGTAAACAAACTTTGAACAGCTGTTTGTTTGGTGAAGCTGTGTGTGTCTGAGCTGTCAGACAGAGACAGGTGTGAACAGGTAACTGAACCTGAGTTGTTATAAAACTGAGACGGATCAGGTTTCTTTCAGTTTCTTTTTGCACTCTGATGAACAGAACAGAGAACAGAGAACAGATTTATCGATTTATTCACCTGTCAAATAACTTTTCATTTGAGTTTCTGCACAGTAAGTATGTACAACATCGATATCAATTATATCAATAATGGAGGCTGGATGTTCGGAGCTGTGCACCCTGGACTTTGACTGAAAGGCTGATTGTTGTTATTAATGAGTGTAAACAAGCAGCAGCTGTAAATCAGAGTTTGGGTCGTGTTAGTGTTTGTTAGAGACGCTCTGAACTTATCAGGGTTATATTACCTGGACTTTGAGGTGAGGCTGTCAGTCAAAGTGCTGATGCAGCAGGTGTCAGAATCTCATTAAGAAAAGTGTTGTTTTATCTGCTGCAGACTTTGGACACCAGAGACCTGAAGGTCATCTCTGTGAGCGCTAATGGACAGGCGGCCACATTTACCATGGGCCCCAAACACAGCTTCAAGGGGACACCGCTGGAGATCACGCTGCCCTTTGACCTCTCCAGGTGAGCTTTTGTCCTCTGTCCTCAGGGAGGGGGGGGAGGGGGGCTTTTAAAAATATAATTAATTAATGTGTGTGTGTGTGTTGTGCACCAATCAGAGGGCAGCATGTGATCGTGGAGGTGACCTATGAGACGTCTCCATCTGCGACGGCGCTGCAGTGGCTCTCACCTGAGCAGACGGCCGGGAAGAAACAGCCGTACCTGTTCAGTCAGTGTCAGGTGAACACACACACACACACACACACACACACACACACACACACACCCACACACACACACACACACACACACACAGGTTTTTAAGTGTGTTGTAAACGTTTTGTGTAACGTAAATGTTGTAAAAAAACGTTTCTCACTCGTCCTCTTTTTTTCTTCCTCTTTTTATCGTTTTTCTTTAAACTTCTCAACGTCTTTTTTTTTTTGGTCAAACTGGTCGAGACTTCCTCTTGCATCACTTCCTCCTCGATGTCGTGTATGTCTGATGTTGTTATCGTTCTGCTCTCGTTTTTTTTTTGCGATGTCACAATTTTCGATCCTTGTTACAAAAAATATTTTTTTAAATTGTACGATATAAAAAAATTATAATAAAATAATGTTTATGAAAGTTTACACTGACCCTGGGTTTTGTCTGACAGGCTCATCACTGCAGGAGTATGATCGCCTGTCAGGACAGTCCGTCTGTCAAACACACCTACTACGCACAGGTAACACACACACATCCTGTGTTTCGTCTGTCAGGTGTGACCTGTGTTTCATGTGTCAGGTGTGACCTGTGTTTCGTCTGTCAGGTGTGACCTGTGTTTCGTCTGTCAGGTGTGACCTGTGTTTCATGTGTCAGATGTGACATGGGTTTCGTCTGTGAGGTGTGACCTGTGTTTCGTCTGTCAGGTGTGACCTGTGTTTCATGTGTCAGATGTGACATGGGTTTCGTCTGTCAGGTGTGACCTGTGTTTCGTCTGTCAGGTGTGACCTGTGTTTTGTCTGTCAGGTGTCTGTTCCTAAGGAGCTGGTTGCCGTGATGAGTGCTATGAGAGACGGACAGGAAGTGGATCCTCAGGATAAGAGCCGTATTGTCTACAAGTTCAGACAGCCGGTTAGTCCTCTCTTCTTCTACTCTTCTAAAATGTTGTCAGTAAAAGGGGCGGAGTTATAGTAAAACTGTAAATGTCTTTTTAATGAACCCTGATTGTTTTTCTTGTTTTGTTTTCAAATGTCCCTCTGACCTCTGACCTCAGGTGCCCATGCCGTCTTACCTGATTGCCATCGTGGTGGGAGCTCTGGAGAGCAGGTAACTCTTTCTCACCTGTGAACGATGTCATGGTGTCACCTGCAGCAGTTGAACAGTGTTCTGTTCTCTGATTGGTCCACAGGGAGATCGGGCCTCGCTCCAGAGTGTGGTCAGAGAAAGAGTACGTGGATAAAGCTGCGTTTGAGTTCTCCGAGGTAAACACACACACACACACACACACACACACACACACACACCTACCTACCTACCTGGATAAAAGGTATGATGTAGTACAGCTGATTAACCTCCAAGTTATGATGTGTGTGTGTGTGTGTGTGTGTGTGTGTGTGTGTGTGTGTGTGTGTGTGTGTGTGTGTGTGTGTGTGTGTGTGTGTGTGTGTGTGTGTGTGTGTGTGTGTGTGTGTGTGTGTGTGTGTGTGTGTGTGTGTGTGTGTGTGTGTGTGTGTGTGTGTGTGTGTGTGTGTTTCAGACTGAGGTCATGTTGAAGACAGCTGAGGGTCTGGCTGGTCCGTATGTTTGGGGTCAGTACGACATCCTCGTTCTTCCTCCATCGTTCCCTTACGGCGGCATGGAGAACCCCTGTCTCACCTTTGCCACTCCTACACTGCTGGTATATACACACACACACACACACACACACACACACACACACACACACACACACACACACACACACACACACACACATAGTCGTCCTCGGTGTGTCCCTGTAGTCTCAGTGATGTGAGTCCAAAGTAATATCCACCTTATGACATCACACATCGACCTTTTGTTACCGTTCCTTTGAGCCGTATTACTTCAGTTTACGATCTGTTACGAGTTCCTTTTTTCTGTGCTCCACTTCATGTCCTAACCTTCGGCCGACCACAACTTCCTTTAATGTCTTTCAAAATAAACACAGGTGTGTTTCCAAACAGGAAGTAAGTAACCGTAGCTTCAGACGGTACAGAAAAACAACATAAACACTCAATAACGGCGTCTCCAACGTGTGATTACAACAGTGATGAACGTTTGAATTTCAGCGTTTAAATCTAATCGCTTCAATGTATTTATTCTCACGTTCACCTGGATGAATAAACACCTGTGTTTGTAACGTGTGGTTAACCCTTCACTGTGTTTTTCTTTTACAGGCTGGAGACAAATCTCTGTCCAATGTGAGTGAAACATCCTGTCACCTGCTCGCCGTCTCACCTGTTCATGTCCTCACGTGTCCACATGTTGATGTGCGTTTCTTCTTCCTGTCAGGTGATCGCTCATGAGATCTCTCACAGCTGGACGGGAAACCTGGTGACCAATAAGACGTGGGAACACTTCTGGTAAGCCATCACGCTGAGTCATGAAGGTTTGGGTTAGGCCCCGCCCACCTGGCCCACCATTTTTCTCGGGGTTTAAATTAATTTGTAATCCTGCTAGCTTACCTGTACACTAGTCGACGGTGTCACCTGAAGTGAAAACAGAATCATGATCACCTTTAAAAAAACTCAACCAGGTGAGGTGTGTGTCTTCTTCTTCTGCTCAGGCTAAACGAGGGTCACACGGTGTACCTGGAGAGGATGATCGGCAGGTGTATGGAGAGCGAGCAGTTCAGACAGTTCAAAGCCATGGGGGGCTGGAAGGACCTGCAGGACTCGGTGAGGACTTGGAACATGTTGAAATGACTCGTTAGTTATTCTGTGGGCCGTTTCTTTCTCCTCGTGTTTCACACCTGTGTCTGTGTGACATCACTCAGGTAAACACCTTTGGATCCAACAACCCCCTGACCAACCTGGTGCCCAGCCTGCAGGACGTGGACCCCGACGACGCCTTCTCCTCCGTGCCCTACGAGAAAGGCTTCGCTCTGCTTTATCACCTGGAGGAGCTGCTGGGGGGGCCAGGTGTGACCACGGGACAGGAAGTGATTATTCACCTGTGTGACATCACAACAGGAAGTGTCTAACACCTGTGTGTTTGTCTCTCAGAGGTGTTCATGGGCTTTGTGAAGTCGTACATCCAGATGTTCGCTTACAGCAGCGTCACCTCGGAGGAGTGGAAGAACTACCTGTTCACCTACTTTAAAGACCAGGTGAGACCCCGTCCATCACACCTGTTAGATGTCTTTAAAGACCAGGTGAGACCCCGTCCATCACACCTGTTAGATGTCTTTAAAGACCAGGTGAGACCCCGTCCATCACACCTGTTAGACGTCTTTAAAGACCAGGTGAGACCCCGTCCATCACACCCGTTAGACGTCTTTAAAGACCAGGTGAGACCTCGTCCGTGACACCTGTTAGACGTCTTTAAAGACCAGGTGAGACCCCGTCCGTGACACCCGTTAGACGTCTTTAAAGACCAGGTGAGACCCCGTCCGTGACACCCGTTAGACGTCTTTAAAGACCAGGTGAGACCCCGTCCATCACACCTGTTAGACGTCTTTAAAGACCAGGTGAGACCCCGTCCGTGACACCTGTTAGACGTCTTTAAAGACCAGGTGAGGATCAGGACTTGAATCAGGTGTATTCTGAACCTGAAGGTGTCTTTGGTGTTTGTGTCTCTCAGGTGGACGTCCTGAACAAGGTGGACTGGAACGCCTGGATGTTCACTCCCGGGATGCCTCCCGTCAAACCTCAGTGAGTCACAATGTCCCTTTAGGCTCCTCCCTCTTTGGAGCACACTCAGTTTTCCTGCTGTAATGATACTCTAAACAATCTTTGTGTTTCAGGTACGACACCTCGCTGGCCGACGCCTGCATCGCTCTGAGCCAGAGGTGGATCAAGGTAAGACCAGGACCTCACATGGACCTGCTTGTGCTTTTCAGGGTCTAACCTCCTCCTCCTCCTGTCCCCCCTCCAGGCCAAAGACCAGGACCTGAGCGGCTTCAAACAATCCGACCTGAAGAGCCTGTCATCCCACCAGGTGGTGGAGTTCCTGTCCCTCCTGCTCCAGGAGGTAACTCCCTCAGTGGGCAGGGGTCACTGCAGTCAGCCAATCAGAGTCCAGCTCAGTACACTTTAAAAACCTGTTGGTTAAATCAAGTTGTCTGAATGTTTGTCCTCAGGATCCTCTTCCTCTGACTCACGTGAAGAAGATGCAAGACGTGTATGATTTAAACTCCTTCATGAACTCAGAGATACGCTTCAGGTGAGTCACCGTCACATGTTCTGCTTTAAGCCCCGCCCCCTTTAGGTCCTTCCTCTGATTGGCTGCTGTCCCTGCAGGTGGCTGAGGCTGTGCGTCCGGTCCAGGTGGGAGGAGGCGGTTCCCATGGCGTTGAAGATGGCGACCGATCAGGGCCGCATGAAGTTCACTCGACCGCTCTTCAAGTGAGTATCGCTCGCCCGTCACCTCGAGTGGACGCCGTTAGACCTGTCGTACGCTCTTCAGTCGTTTACCTTTTGTGTGTCTGTGTTGTTGTTTTGTTTTTCAGAGAGGTGTTCAACTTCGACAAGTTTCACGACGAAGCTCTTCGAGTGTTTGCGGCTCACAGGGCCGAGATGCACCCGGTCACTGCGGGACTCGTCGCCAAAGACCTGAAGGTGGACGCCAAAGTGAGCACCAGCCTGTAACCATGTAAACCAACCTGTAACCATGGAAACCACAGTGTAACCATAAATAACAGTTTGTAACCATGGAAACCACAGTGTAACCTTAAAAAACAGTTTGTAACCATGGAAACCAGACTGTAACCACAGGGAAACTGTAACAATGAATACACAAAGCAGTCAAAACACACACAAGGTGTCGGCTGGTGTTCAGACCTTTTTTTTTTTAACTTTGTAAACATTTCCTCAGGGAAAAAAAAACACAAATTAATTCATAAATAAAAATCTGTCTGACAGAAAAAACAAATCTGTGTTTTTGTTTTTTTTAAACACTTCAGAGTGTGTGTGTCTGTGTGTTTGAAGCTTCTGCAGTTTGTATACATCGTCTCCCCCTGTTACCACGGTAACACAATGTGAAACCACACAAACTTGAAAGACTGGTGAAGGCGGAGCTTTGTGAAGGCGCCGTGGTGAATCTCGATGTGAAAAGGGCGAGAGAGAGAGAGAGAGAGAGTACATTAACACAAACACACAGGTGCAGACTTGAGGTGTGAATATTTTATTAAAGAAGATTAAAAAGTCAGACTTTAGGTTAAAGGCTGTTTATCTTGCACTTAAATTAATAATCAGCTGATCAGTCACATGACTCTTTGACCGCATCAGCTTTAACAACACCTGTTGATCAGCTGATCAGGTAAACAAAGACTGATCAGGTAAACAAAGGCTGATCAGTAACATTTGGCACAATGTAAAAAAAAATGTTTTAATTTTTAACTGTTACAAATTAAACTTTTCTGTTTTTATGACCATAAAGTTAAAATATGAGATGATAACACTGCTAGTTACTCCGCTAACTAGTCACACTTAAACTTCTTTAACTGGTTTGACTTGAACTCTGATTAAACTGGTTACACTGGGTTAGACCCAGTTCTGATTATTCACTTTCTAACTGTCTTTATTTCTACTCATGAACTTTCTGGATGTATATTGGATCGTCTGTCGATTGTTTCTGTCCTCTTGACTCTGACAACACCAGCTGAGTGGAACAGACCGTTTCCATGACAACACCATTTGGTGGGGGCGGGGTTTAGTGGAGAGAGTTTTTTTTTTAATGGTTTAAACTTTTTTAATATGTTACGGTGGTCGCTGTGACCCGACAGGGTTCAGGTCTGGTGGTCGCTGTGACTCGACAGGGTTCAAGTCTGGTGGTCGCTGTGACCCGAAAAGGTTCAGGTCTGGTGGTCGCTGTGACAGGTTCAGGTCTGGTGGTCGCTGTGACTCGACAGGGTTCAGGTCTGGTGGTCGCTGTGACTCGACAGGGTTCAGGTCTGGTGGTCGCTGTGACGGGTTCAGGTCTGGTGGTCGCTGTGACGGGTTCAGGTCCAGCTGAGTCCGAGCGGTCGAGTCATCATGATCTCCTCCAGGTCGTGGTCTTCCTGTCGCTCCTGCAGTCTCTGCTCCTCCAGCAGGGACACCAGAGAGTCTCTCTGCTCCACCACCTCCAACATCTCCTCGAGGATCAGACGCTCCTCCACCAACTCACACGCCCCCTTCAGGTGGTCTGAGGACACACAGGTAGAGCGAGGAGAGTTTAAACTGACCACATTGAATATTTAAAAAACAGATGATATAATTATTCTGTGAACAGCTGCTATGTACAAACACTTGTCATAGAGCTCTATGGATGTTGACAGTGTTATCGATCAGAGCTCTTACCGTCCACGGCCATCCTCTCTCTGAGCTCCTGCTGTAGTCGACTCTGGCGGTCTTCCAGCTCCAGCTCCCGAGCCCTGAAACACACACACACACACACACGCACCACCTGAGAGCTGGAACCTCTCTTGAGACCTGGACCAGTTCAGAGACCTGACCCTAAATCTAAAATACTCACAGTATGACGAGTTCAGACTCGTATCTAATCAGAGAGTTTTTCTGCTGCACCAGCTGGAACCAGGTCTTCATCAGAACCGTGTTATCCAGTTTACCCAGACCTGCAGGGACAGAGACACACTGCTGAGCGAGCTACACACACCACATGGCACAGGTTAGTGACTGTGTGTGTAGATGACATCATAGTACAGTTAAAATCATGTGGGACAGGATTCTGTATTTTAGAACAGAACAGTGAAGTCAGCAGGTGAACTCGCCTTCCAGGTGAAGCTCGATGTCTGGGCTGTTGTCATCATCTTCCCAATAATCTGACAGAAATACATCGAGAAAATGTCACAGCAACATTTTTCTGCAGAATGTTTTTGTATTGTTTGTATTTTGTGAATGTTGTTTACCTGCTTCTCCTCTCAGAGCTTTCTCCACTATCACTCCTCTCTCCTCCAGCTGTCTCTGCTTCTCCTCCACCTGCTGCAGCTGCCTCTGGATCATCTGAAGCACACACGCGCACACACACACACACACACACACACACACACACACACACACACTATTAGGTATCTGGCTGGACAGCACCTTGTCTTTCTCACACCATATCAACAGGTTACAGTCAGAGGTCAAAATCCAAACTTGGTTTCCTGTACAGAATGCGCTCCACCCTCACTCCCTCTGCCAAACTAACTCTGGTCCAAATGACAATACTCCCAATGTTAGACTACGGTGATGTAATATATAGATCAGCATGCAAAGCCTCACTCCATAAACTTGACGTTCTCTATCACTCCGCCATCCGGTTTATCACCAATGCTTCTTTCAACACTCACCACTGCACCCTATATTCCTCTGTCAACTGGCCATCCTTACACACCCGTCGTAAAATGTACTGGTTAATTCTTATATATCTGCCCCCTACCTGTGTCACCTGGTGTAAACTACAACTGCTACCTACAACACCCGCTCTGCCCACCACATTCTCCTAAAAAATCCAAGACCAAATACAGTTATTGGAACAACTTACAAAAAAATCTCAAACTGGACACTCTCATCCCTAAATCAGCTTTCAAGGACTCTATCATGGACAGTTGCAACTGTTTCTCAGTGCACTAACTTTTCCCAAATCCTCTATCTGCTGGCTCATTACCGTCTCTCCCTGCATGTTGTCTTTTAGATGTTCCCCTGCATGTGTATGCCACACATCTCTGTGGTTGTTCTCTGTGCTGTGCTGCTGTTGTGAGTGTATGTAAGGAGGATACGATGTACATGTGTCTTACCTTCTTATGGCCTGTATGTTTGGATATGTTATTTTAACTTTTTATTGTGCTGTGACTGTTTGGAATGCAGCTGGCTGTTGAAAATGTTGCTGCTATCTTTTTTTTAAACCATCTCTTTATTGTCTTTTCTAGTAAAGCATAAACAGTGTATCGCAAAACAGTACACACAATACAAAAACTAAAAAAGAGGAAATAAAAGTATAGGAATAAATAAATGAATAAATGAATAATAATAAAAACAAAAACATAGCCGCCCTACTGACAGTCAGATCTGTTCATCAGTCCAAACCTCATTTTGTATTTTGTCATTACCCTACAGGAAGTTGTAAAAAATAGTTCATATTTCCAAAATTTGTCAAGTTTGTTTTTTGAGAAATAGCAAGAAAGAGAGTCATTCCTTTAAACCACTGAGAGACTCCACAGGTTGTTTGTTTCTTCCACGAGCGAGCAATGCATCGTTTGGCCTCCAGGAAACAAACATTGAGTAGATATTTGACATTACTGGAAAGTGAAAAGTCATCAGCAGAGATATTAAGAATACACAATTTAGGGTTAAGAGGCGACTGCACGAGTCCAACACCTTTTCCCAGAAGCAGATTATCAGTGGGCGTTCCCACAAACAGTGAAAGAGAGACCCCTTGTGGACACCACATTTAACTGTTTGTCCTTTTAACATTGACCTTTCCTTTCAGCCCCCCCCCAAAAGGCTTCTGCCAGGCCGTCGTTGTAAAAAATACACACACACACACACGCACACACACACGCACGCACACACACACGCGCGCACGCGCACACGCACACACACGCGCACACACACACACACACACACACACACACACACACCTGTCTCACCTACATCCAACAACACCTGATTAACTGACAGGTACCTCCATGGTTGGAAGTGTTGATGATGTCATCAAACAGTCTTACAGCAGATTAGTCCAAACTCTACTTGACCTGAAGTGGATCTGTCCTCAGGTGGATCAGGTGGATCAGGTGGATCAGGTGGATCAGGTGGACTCACCTGGGCTCTGTGAAGTCTCTTCAGCTCTTCCTGTTTGGCCGTCCGTCTCGCAGCTCTCTGGACCCGCCGGGTGATTTTGGCGTCCAGGTCCTCCTCCTCCTGTCCCCTCTGGAACATGGTCTCCTTCACGCTCAGACTCGACGGCTCCTTCGACTCCACCAGAACGCCGACCACCTCGGTGGGACACGAGGACCGTCCGTCGGAGTCCTGGAGGGGGGCGGAGCCTCTCTGAGAGCGTCTCTGAAACACAAACATCAGAGAGAGAGTCAGTGTACCACGGTCTGGACCCCCGGATGTTAGGACTAGGGATGTGGGAAACAAGTGGACTAGGAACATCCCGTGTTAAAACTACAGGAAGCAGAGTCCTGATCCCGTTGTCACATGATGTGTGTACCTTGATGGCGTACGCTCGTTTGAAAGCCAGAGCGTGAGGGACGTACGCAGGCTGAGAGACACAGGAGACACAAAGAGTCAAACACTGACGAGTCAGGAAGTCTCAAACACAAAGTCGAGTCTCTAGTCAGCCTCGAGTCAGACAGTCAGAGCAGGTCGAGTCTCATCTTCTGATTGTTGGGACGCGTCTCCAGTTTAAGCCACTAGTTGAGGTTTAGGCAAGGTTAAGACGAGTCTTTTGATTGGTTAAGACAGATCCAGATCAAGTCCAAGTCTACAAACACATCTTAAGACAGAACAAGTCAAATCACGAGTTCTTGGGTTCTAATCCAAGTCAAGTTAAAACAGAATAAAGTGGTCGACGTCTCAGGGTGCTGATGTTGAAATGAAGAGCTTTTTGTTTTATTGATTTTAATACTCATGACTTGTGTTTAAATGTATTTGTAAAGTTTAACACATTAAATCTCCCAGCAGTCGAGTCCAAGTCGTTCTTTTTGTCTCCTCGCCGAGTCGGCTAAAAAAATCAGACAACAGGGAGTCGGGTTCTATTCGTCTAACATCCAGAACTCTTTTAGCTACAAACTAACTCAAACACAGATTTCCTACAGAACAAAATGTGCCCTGAACGCAGCACAGCTGGTGGTACCTCCTTGTCTTCATCGTCCTCCTCGTTTAGACTGGCTCTTTGAATTTTAGCTGCGAGGTCTAACAGCTCCTTCTGCAGCTTCAAACATCACAACAGGACAGTTAATGACTCAACACCAGGTATTAGACCGATCCCTTCAGTAGTTATCTGCAGGAAGTAGTCAGGACCCTCAAACAGACTCAGACAGCTGCGTCACGTCCTGAAGAAACCAACTGAACTGACCGTTTTAGCTAGCTTAGCATTAGCATCCCCCTTGACATTAGCATCACACACAAACACACACAAAACACACACACACACAAAACTGGATAAAATGCTCAAAAAAAAGAGTGTGTGCATTGATGATGTCATGCTGTGATGTCACAGCGGAGATGTGTGTGTTTCTTACGTTGTTTCGTGTGTGCAGCAGGTCAGACGACTCCTCCTCCGTCAGGCATCCTCTCACACCTGAACACACACAGGAAGTAAAGTTATGACATCATCACTCTGAGGTACACGTGATTGTTTTTTAAATCCTCACCTTTCACTCTCCTCTTGTTGGCCTCGTCTTTCTTCGTCCTCTCTGCAGGTAAGCTCTCGCCCATCTTCTTCTTCCTCTTCTCCTTCCTGTTTCCGGGGAAAACTGCCCTCCACAGAGATCTGGCCCCGCCTCCTTCCACATCAAAGAGCCCAGAGGGCGGAGCCTCTCTAAGTCCCTTCAGCTGAAGGAGGAAAGCCCCTCCCCCAGCCAGAGGGGGAGGGTGGAGGCGAGGGGGGAGGGTGTGGGCTCCTCTGTGTCTCCTCCTTCTTCCGTCAGATTCCCCCTCCTCCTCCTTTTGCTCAAACTCCTCCTCTTCTGGCTCCTCCCATTTGTCCTTCAGGAGGAGGGGCTTCATTGGGGGCATTTCAGGGCTGATGTCATCAAATGAGCCCCGCCCTTTATCTGGGAGCCAGGAGGCTTGTTTCTGACATGCTGTTTCCATGACAACCTCAGGCGTGGTCCATGTGGGTGGAGCTGTGTCGCTGTCATTGTGGGTGGAGTCAGGCTCGGATACGAAGGAGGCGGTGGAGGGCGTGAAGACGTGGGGGCGGGGCTCAGAGGGGGTCAGGGAGGGGTTGACACAGGGCAGAGGGCTCGAGGTGGAGTCGGGCTCCACAGGTGTGTCTGAGGGAGTGATGTCACCTCCAGCTTCTGAGGAGACGAGAGGAGAAAAGAAGGCGGGGTTTAAAAAAAAAATCATGAGAGGCCTACGATAATAAATATAAATAACTAAACAAATAAACACTTGAACACGTGACAGAGACAAAAAAAAATACAGATAAGACAAACTGTCAAATTAAAAATTAAAATTTAGTTTAGGTTTAGTTTTAGTTTAGTGTTTCATTTGGGACTACATTTACTTATGTTATTACAAACTACATTTCCCATGACGCACCTGAGTAGTGTACTCACACATACAGCAGCTTCATGTTAATGTTTATGAGTTTAGTCTGTAATTGATGTTTTCATTAATGGAGTTCGGTTTGGATTCTACTACCTGTGTCCTCCTCCATCAGGAGCCACACACCTGACCGTCGCTCCATGGCCCAGGGGCTGTACTCCCCCTCTACCAGCAGGGGGCGACACGGCACCACATTACACAACAACACAACACAATAACACAACAGTACACAACAACACTACACAACACAAAGCTGAGGCTTCAAACATCAGACCTGATTAAAAAATAAATTAAAAAATCTCACCATCACTGGACTCCATCTCGTCGTCTCCATCCTCTTCCTCTGGCTCCGCCTCCTCCTCCTCTTCCTCCTCCTCCTCCTCATGACCCAGGTGTAGCTGTAGAGTTTCCATCCATGACGCTCCAACCTCCTCTTCTTCCTCCTCAACCTCAACCTCCATCTCTGACTCCGAACTGAAACCCAGACAAACTTTTAAATACTGACAGATGAACGGAGGTCACGTAAATAATTATGTTTCTCTTTAAATATGAATTTTCTGATTTCATATTTCTGATTTGAGTCGCCATATTTGGGACAGCAGACTCTCCTTCAGCTCTGTTGACCCTCCTCTCAGACTGACTCCTACCTGGACTTGTGGTTCTCCTCCTGGTCCAGGTCCAGATTAAAGCGGGTCAGCATCTCTTCAGAAACCTCCTCAGGCTCCTCCCCCTCCTCCTCCAGAAGCCCCGCCTCCTTAGTCGAGCTGCGACGGTAGTTTTCCAGCTCGATCCTCTCGGGCGTGGCCGTCTTCACAGAAACCACTGCAGGCACACCAACGCAGCCGCACACACACACAGACACACGCAGAAACACACACACACTAAAGCCCAACAGTGACGTCGTTTAAGGAGCGTGCTCAGTGCGGAGAAAAAAGACAAAAGAGGGCAAAAGAAACCGCAACAGGTGAACAGAGCTCACCTGAGGAGCGACGACGACCGGCAAAGACCAGAGAGTCTGCAGAGGAGAGGGAGGGGGCGGAGCTTAGAGACACCTGTGGACACAATGATTGGATCAAATTCTTAATCATTCAAATTCAGGAAATTTTATGTTTTTATATATTTATCTGTTATTGCAGTTTGAGTGCAGACTTAATTAAATTGCCACAGGTTATTTAATCTGAACAGATGAGATGATCTTAAATTCATACATTTAATTCTTTAAGTTTTTTCTTACAGTGGAGGTTTGCAGTGAAGCCGATCTGTCAGTCCTCCTCCTCCTCACAGTCGGATCAGAGTCAGAGTGCTGCACGCAGTAAAACCTCCCTGAGACACATAAACATCATGATATTAATTAATATGAATAATTAAAATATTACAAAGTAAAACCTCCCAACAGACACACACACCATCAACACATGAATAAAAACAACCTGTTAAAGAGGTCTCCGCT